TCTCTCAACCAGCTTCATTAAGGTAGTCATGAAGAATCTAAAAAAAAAAACATATTTAGATTTGTTTTAAAAAGTGTTGGTTACTACATAATTACATATGTGTTATTTCATAGTTTTGACGTTTTCACTATTATTCTACAATGGAGAAAATAGTAAAAATAAAGAAAAACCCTTGAATGAGTAGGTGTTCTAAAATCTTTGACCGGTAGTGTAGCTGATATGGCTGACTTCCTTAAACAAATGTGGTGTCAACTGACAATTGAGATGTACAAACTATGGCATAGGGGGACGACAAGCGGATAAGAGGCAATCCGTAATTTCGATTAAGACATTAATGAGTGAGCTAGGACGGACGTAGTCCATATAACTATTTGTTCAGCACTTTTGAAATGTACAGCAACAGAATTCAGAACATGGGCCGTTCTTACAGTATTCTCCCTGTACACCAAGTCAAAACCGTAGGATAAATAAAGGGGGCATATAAGCAGACAATGAAAGCTCTTACAATATTCGATGATTACATTTCTCTAAAACGGGTTATAGGCTACATGTGCACCACCAAGTCAGAACAGTAGGTGAAATTAAGAGGGGAAAATAGACCAAATTAATGGGGCTAAGGCACATGGGCTACTAACAGCTTACTACACAAAATACACTTAGTATTACTTTCTTAGCTACAGTATACATATCTCCCTGGCATATTACATCCTTTATGCAGCAGCATACAATACATTTTTTGACTCACCTTGTTGTGCTGTGCTCACTTTAACAGGAAGGTGGCGCGGCAGTCCTTTGTGGGCAAATTTTGGCATTCTCTGGATTTATGGTGCTTTCGAGACAACTGGGAACTCTGAAAAAAACATGGCCGAATCATGATGACGTCAGTGATCTTCAGGTCGTAGCTCTAGAAAGAGGCCCGAGTTCCCGACTTGACCGTTCAAAACGTATTTTCCGTCAGAGCTAGTTTTTTCCTGAGTTCCAGTTGTCTTGAACTCACTGAAGTCAGCTTTCCCAGTTCCGAGTTAACAGTTGTGGAGCCTTTGAAAAAAGTTTGGGCCTTCCTCTGACACCACCTAGTATATAGTGAGGGAAAAAAGTATTTGATCCATGTCAAAAATGTTATAAATTGATTTTGCATTTTAATGAGGGAAATAAGTATTTGACCCCTCTGCAAATCATGACTTAGTACTTGGTGACAAAACCCTTGTTGGCAATCACAGAGGTCAGACGTTTCTTGTAGTTGGCCACCAGGTTTGCACACATCTCAGGAGGGATTTTGTCCCACTCCTCTTTGCAGATCTTCTCCAAGTCATTAGGGTTTCGAGACTGACATTTGGCAACTCGAACCTTCAGCTCACTCCACAGAGTTTCTATGGGATTAAGGTCTGGAGACTGGCTAGGCCACTCCAGGCCCTTAATGTGCTTCCTCTTGAGCCACTCCTTTGTTGCCTTGGCCATGTGTTTTGGGTCATTGTCATGCTGGAATACCCATCCACGACCCATTTTCAATGCCCTGGCTGAGGGAAGGAGGTTCTCACCCAAGATTTGACGGTACATGGCCCAGTCCATCGTCCCTTTGATGCGGTGAAGTTGTCCTGTCCCCTTAGCAGAAAAACACCCCCAAAGCATAATGTTTCCACCTCCATGTTTGACGGTGGGGATGGTGTTCTTGGGGTCATAGGCAGCATTCCTCCTCCTCCAAACACAGCGAGTTGAGTTGATGCCAAAGAGCTCCATTTTGGTCTCATCTGACCACAACACTTTCACCCAGTTCTCCTCTGAATCATTCAGATGTTCATTGGCAAACTTCAGACGGGCCTGTATATGTGCTTTCTTGAGCAGAGGGACCTTGCGGGCGCTGTAGGATTTCAGTCCTTCACGGCGTAGTGTGTTACCAATTGTTTTCTTGGTAACTATGGTCCCAGCTGCCTTGAGATCATTGACAAGATCCTCCTGTGTAGTTCTGGGCTGATTCCTCACCTTTCTCATGATCATTGCAACTCCACGAGGTGAGATCTTGCATGGATCCCAAGGCCGAGGGAGATTGACAGTTATTTTGTGTTTCTTCCATTTGCGAATAATTGCACCAACTGTTGTCACCTTCTCACCAAGCTGCTTGGCGATGGTCTTGTAGCCCATTCCAGCCTTGTGTAGGTCTACAATCTTGTCCCTGACATCCTTGGAGAGCTCTTTGGTCTTGGCCATGGTGGAGAGTTTGGAATCTGATTGATTGATTGCTTGCTTCTGTGGACAGGTGTCTTTTATACAGGTAACAAGCTGAGATTAGGAGCACTCCCTTTAAGAGTGTGCTCCTAATCTCAGCTCGTTACTTGTATAAAAGACACCTGGGAGCCAGAAATATTTTTTTCCTCACTGTAGTTCATGGATGGCAGGAAGCTTGGCCCCAGTGATGTACTGGGCCGTACGCACTACCCTCTGTATGCAACCGGTCAGGATGCTCTCGATGGTGCAGCTGTAGAATTTTGAGGATCTGGGGACCCATGCCAAATCTTTTCAGTCTCCTGAGGGGGAAAGGTGTTGTCGTGCCCTCTTCACGACTGTCTTGGTGTGTTTGGACCATGATAGTTTGTTGGTGATGTGGACACCAAGGAACTTGAAACTCTCGACCCGCTCCACTACAGCCCTGTCAATGTTAATGGGGCCTGTTCGGGCCCTCCTTTTCCTGTAGTCCACGATCAGCTCCTTTGTCTTGCTCACATTGAGGGAGAGGTTGTTGTCCTGGCACCACACTTACAGGTCTCTGACCTCCTCCCTATAGGCTGTCTCATCGTTGTCGGTGATCAGGCCTACCACTGTTGTGTCATCAGCAAACTGAATGATGGTGTTGGGAGTTATGCTTGGACATGCAGTTGTGGGTGAACAGGGAGTACAGGAGGGGACTAAGAACGCACCCCTGAGGGGCCCCAGTGTTAAGGATCAGCGTGGCAGATGTGTTGTTGCCTACCCTTACCACCTGGGGGTGGCCTGTCAGGAAGTCCAGGATCCAGTTGCAGAGGGAGGTGTTAAGTCCCAGGGTCCTTAGCTTAGTGATGAGCTTTGTGGGCACTATGGTGTTGAACGCTGCGCTGTAGTCAATGAACAGCATTCTCACATAAGTGTTCCTTTTGTCCAGGCGAGAAAGGGCAGTGTGGAGTGCGATTGAGATTGCGTCATCTGTGGATCTGTTGGGGCGGTATGCGAATTGAAGTGGGTCTAGGGTTTCCGGGATGATGGTGTTGATGGGAGCCATGACCAGCCTTTCAAAGCACTTCATGGCTACCGACGTGAGTGCTACGGGGCGGTAGTCATTTAGGCAGGTAACCTTCGCTTTCTTGGGCCACAGGGACTATGGTGGTCTGCTTGAAACATGTAGGTATTACAGACTCGGTCAGGGAGAGGTTGAAAATGTCAGTGAAGACACTTGCCAGTTGGTCTGCGAATGCTCTGAATACACGGCCTGGTAATCAGTCTGGCACCGCGGCCTTGTGAATGTTGACCTGTTTAAAGGTCTTGCTCACATCGGCTATGGAGAGAGTGATCACACAGTCGAGGAGGAGAAAATGTCCTCCTTGAAGAAGATTTTTTACCTCCCCATCTCTCCCTCCTCTCTCTCGCTCTCTCTGCTGTTGGGCCAGGCATCAATGGGAGTCCAATCTATAACCTGCCAATTTCAAAGATCCAGACCTTGGCTGAAGAGAGTTCATTTGTTGACCCACTCCAACGCAACACAGTCTAGTGCCAATCCCTCCACACCAGTCTCCCTGACACCAATTCCTCTTACACCAGTCCCTCTAATGCCAATCCCCCCTCAGCCTTCCCCAGGTAGAAAAAAACCCTCAAGATCTGTAAATACAACCATTATTCTAGGCTACCGGGCTTTGGATAAGGGTGGGGCTCCAGTGTGTGTGTGTGTGTGGCCATTATGTAGTAATGGGGATTTGGCCTGATCTCCTAACACAATCTCTGTGTTAGGAGATTTCCCGACTGCTGTACGTACAGCCAACAAGTCAAACAGTAAGAGAATCTCTCAGGAGATGAGAACAGTTGTCTTCACTTCAGATTTAATGACAGTTTGGCTGCAGTGGTGTCATTACAGAGATAATGGGCGTTTCAAGTCGTACTGATTGCAGTCACGTTGCACAGATCATCAGATCTCTCATATCACGACTGCAATAAAGACAACCTGTAACGCAACCACAGGGTTGTGTTTCACCAAGCAGGATCAATCAGCTAGCTAGCTAACACTAATCAAATACTTATTTTCTGAATGAGAAAGAGAACATAAGTTGAATACGGGGTTAATATTTCAATAATATTTTGGAAGGTTAGCTGGCTAGGCTAACTCATTAATCCTGCTTTGTGACATACACCCTGTGAACAATGATAAAAAAACAGACTCCTGTGCTACAGAAAGGCACAAGTGGGACCGTCAACAGCGGTTCAACAGTCTCATCCATGGGGTCTTTTATGTACAGAAAAACACAAAACACTGTCAACTATCAAACACTACTCTCCAACCTCTGTCCATCTACCACATGGCCCTCATTACAGATCAGAGTGGAGGGAAAGACATGGGGCGATCCCTACGGGATAATATCACATAGGACACGACAACAGCAGAAAATATAATCAACAACTGTCTGTTTACAGAGGTCCAGGAGGCCATTTTAACAACTGATTGAGGCTGAATTGTGAAATGGCCACCCGGAGAAGAGAACGATAAAAGGAGAGATGGAAGGAGGGATGGAGAAGGAGGGATGGAAGAGGGAGGCTTGTGTTGTTCTCCAGAGAGGGTCCCTATGTGTTACTACTGTCCGTTATCTGCACACCCACACGACACCCTACCAAAGAGAAACTGGTGGAAACAGCTGTGTCCCATACAGGCCTCCTCTGTGATCGTGGTCTCATACTGCTGCCGCCATTACCGCTGGATGAATCCATCTTCTTTAGACCTCCACTAGAAATCCCACAGTGCTTAGTGTGCGGGGCAGGGCAGGCTGTTAGTCGGAGAAGAGGATGGAGAGGGCCATGACGACACAACAAACCGCCACGTATGGGCTCTTCCTCTCACCTGGGGGGGAGGGGATGATGGGAGACTTCAGAAGTTAACATGGAAATACTCAATGCTTTCACCACACTAAACCAACACTGACTACTAAAAGAGCAAGCACCTTATACATGGGCATCATCACAAGTCTTCGGTGTTCTAGATGATAAAACTATTGATTATATAACAAACACCAAACAGCGTACCTATTCTGGCACATTTCCAGAAGATACCCAAGAACCTGAAAAGAGGGGAAAGATATGTTAATTAGCTACATACTGTTTTAAGTACTGTTTTTAACATAACCATCAATGTTTTAAAGAAGCAATCATCAGTTTAAACAATAACGTGTTTTAGCCGCCCGTTTCGGTAAAAAGCTGAGGAATGGGGCTGGAGAAATGTAACCACTCAAATTCATAGAGGTATGGATGCAAGGACTGACCATCCATTATATCAAAAGTATAGTTTTAACCATGTTTTGACGCTAAACAATGTTTGTTTAGATTTGCTTTGGGGTTCTGATGGGGTGCGACAGTTGAACTAAGCTGATGAGATGGGGCGGCAGGTAGCTTAGTGGTTAAGAGCGTTGTGCCAGTAACCGAAAGGTCGCTGGTTCTAATCCCCGAGCCGACTAGGTGAAAAATCTGTCGATGTGTCCTTGAGCAAGGCACTTAATCCTAATTGCTCCTGTAAGTCGCTCTGGATAAGAGTGTCTGCTAAATGACTAAAAAAAAGAATCAATGGGTCCATATAATTAATTTATATGTCCAAAAATTTATGTAGCAACTGCAGATTGCCCCTTTAATGAGCAAACTTGCAAAGAGTAGCTCGAGAGAGAGAGATTGAGAGGCACAGATCTACACAGTGTACAAAACATTAAGAACATCTTCTCTTTCTATGACAGACTGACCAGGTAAATACAGGTGAAAGCCATGATCCCTTATTGATGTCACTTGTTAAAGGAAAGGTCGACCCATTTTGAATGTTATATTGTTTTTGTGCATCTCTGAGTGATGTTCTATCGATTCCCTGGGTCAGTTCATGTTTTCATGTGTATTTGAGTTATTAGAGTTCAAGCAGGCAGAAATCCGGCCGGTATTACGTAGCACCGTGAGAAAGTCGCTCTCACTACACTGGAAGTTAATAGGAATACGACTTTTAGATCACAAAAATGTCTATCATACATGTCAGATTTCAATACTGGCCGACATCATAACTCGGGATGATGTCGTTTATTTTTGCGATATTCCTACCTCGAGAAATGTGTAATTTAACAGAGGGTCTTGCACATTTTTCCTATTTGTCTACCTCTTTAGTCCAGGGTGCATTGCATGGTGCAGTTGCCAGAGATATTATAGAAATGAGATAGGAATCCAATGAATAAAGGAACGTGTAACGCCCCACCCAGCAGACTGTCAACCAATCGCGTTCACGTTATGCTGCGTCACGCGGTTGCTAAGCTAATCGTCACGCGGTTGCTAAACTAATCGTCACGCAATCCCTTCTCAAAGTCAGTGTAGATGTCGAGAAACATGCTTATTTTCCTTGAAAGTACGTAATGTCCAAATTCTAAAACTATACGATACTACAGACAGCAAGTTAATTATCTCACATCTCAGAAAATATTTGTAATGTTGTACTTCTTGTTCACGAAATTCATGCTAATGTTTGGTTTTTGAGCTAGCGCCCAATAGACTCTGGGCAATGTATCAAATTCATTTGATGAATTCAAATGTATGTTTTTGCGCGATATTCCAAATGCCTGTATCGCAAGAATCAAGGTTTCGTTATTTTTCGTTTTTATGAGCGTTTATGACCGCTTGTCCCAAAGGCAGGTGACAAGCTTAGGCCCAAAATAAGCCCATAGAAACGCATTGGCCTTATTTTTGACAGATTTTAGCAGGAGTGAAACCTTCCTCTATGGTTTACACACACACCAAGCCCCACCCCCTGCCTCTCTCGCCAACAAAGTTGAGAGAGATCACATCTTCCTCTCTGACAAGCGGTTTCAACTCGCTATTTGCATTTAAGGTTTGGTTCAACAGAATCGCTCATATGGACACCAAAACACATTGAGACATTATTTTACTATAGAGGAGAAGTTAACTTTTCTAACGATACCATTTTTATGTCAGACCAGACACTACTAAAACGAGAGTATCAATGAACATTGATTCTGGACAATGAATGCTCAGTTTGTCGGGATTGGGATACTGCTAGCAGCATGATAGACAAAGAATGTTATACTCGCTGTCTAGTCTGTTTTATAAATGTGCAATAAGCATAACACAATTATATAAGGAATTGGCAACTCATTCTCATTCTGAGAAATAAGATAGGCCACTTGATTTCAACATCTGAACAAAGTGGACAGGCTAACATGCTTTTCAAACAGTTGGAGACAAGACAGTGGTGAGTATTCATGGATGCCAAGGGAAGCCAGGCTTCCCCAGAAAAAAATATAAGACAAATTATCTTTAGTCTCTCTGCGTTTCATAATTTTCCTTCAATTCGCAAGAGGCTGAATGAACAGTATCTCACCGGAGAAAGCATCCGAGCAAGCGAAACAGCGCCCCTCTGTCTCTGTATGCCATCTATCTGATGCTGTCTGGTCCAAAAGAGTATGCCATTGTTGTCGCTTGTAGCATTGAATGCAAGGGAAGCCAGCGAGCATTTGGCCTCCCTTGATAAAAAAAAGTATAAAATAATGGCCATCTGGCTAAACTGAGTGAGCTCAACTGTGAATGGTCCTGGCACACCAAAATAAAAGTGTCAAGGGAAGCCAGTTTGGATTTGGCATCACGCCTATCTAAACGCATTGAGAGCATAAGTAATTGACAGAAACAACTTGAATTGTTGCATCTTGTTGCGTTGTTGTCCTCCGGTGGCTAGCTAGCTAAAAGTGTCCCTTTCCTAAATTAGCCATGGATGAAGATAGGGATTTGGACTTGTGGTTTTACTTAAATTCTCTGTCCTGGCCAATTATTATAATGGCGATTCTGATCCAACCATTATTTCTTACATTTTCATGCTCCTGGCCTGAGAGGATGGAAGTTCAATATATAGCTAGATGTAGGTTTCCATCAAGGATCTCTCTGTACTTTGCTCCATTCATCTTTCCCTCGATTCTGACTAGTCTCCCAGTCCCTGCCGCTGAAAAATATCCCCACAGCATGATGCTGCCACCACCATGCTTTACCGTAGGGATGGTGCCAGGTTTCCTCCAGACATGACACTTGGCATTCAGGCCAAAGAGTTCAATCTTGGTTTCATCAGACCAGAGAATCTTGTTTCTTATGGTCTGAGAGTCCATTAGGTGCCTTTTGGCAAACTCCAAGCGGGCTGTCATGTGCCTTTTACTGAGGAGTGGCTTCCATCTGGTCACTCTACCATAAAGGCCTGATTGGTGGAGTGCTGCAGAGATGGTTGTCCTTCTGGAAGGTTCTCCCATCTCCACAGAAGAACTCTGAAGCGCTGTCAGAGTGACCATCAGGTTCTTGGTCACCTCTCTGATCAAGGCCCTTCTCCCCCAATTGCTCAGTTTGGCCGGGCGGCCAGCTCTAGGAAGAGTCTTGGTGGTTCCAAACTTCTTCTATTTAAGAATGATGGAGGCCACTGTGTTCTTGGGGACCTTCAATGATGCAGAAATGTTTTGGTACCCTTCCCCAGATCTGTGCCTCGACACAATCCTGTCTCGGACCTCTACGGACAATTCCTTCGACCTCATGGCTTGGTTTTTGCTCTGACATGCACTGTCAACTGTGGGACCTTATATAGACAGGTATGTGCCTTTCCAAATCATGTCCAATCAATTGAATTTACCCCAGGTGGACTCCAATCAAGTTGTAGAAACATCTCAAGGATGATCAATGGAAACAGGATGCGTCTGAGCTCAATTTCGAGTCTCATAGCAAAGGGTCTGAATTCATTTACATAATTAAGGTATTTCTGTTTATTTGTAATACATTTGCTAAAATTTCTAAAAACCTGTTTTCGCTTTGTCATTATGGGGTAGTGTGTTGATTGATGAGGGAAAATTTTATTGAATCCATTTTAGAATAAGGCTGTAACATAAAAATGTGGGAAAGTCAAGGGGCCTGAATACTTTCCGAATACACTGTATAATCGTGAATCATTGTCGTAGCATGGGCAACGTTTCCATCTCCTCAAAAGTATATCTGCCAGTGCGAAAGTTAGACTCCACTCTGTGAGGCACATCGATCTGCAGGTTGAACAAGGTGAGATTGTAGACACCTAAATTGATGGTGCAGTTTGTTTAGGCAATCTTTTTCAGCTAACTAACTACGTTACATGCTGATATTGTTTTTGGTATTATCATGTGTAGCTACGTTTGCTAGCCAGCCAGCCCCATAGAGAGAGCATTTCATTGGGGATTTTGTAGTCGACTTGAGCTGCAACAGATTTCCACAATTATTTTCCATGTTGCTACCAACCTTATAACACCAAAATGAAACATTTGTTCACAAAAAATATTGTTCTCATATATTAGTGTTATTTAACACTGTAAATTAAAGGAATGAGTGGTTTTGGGTGGATTTTTCCTTTAAATCCACTTCAATCAGTGTAGATGACGAGGAGACAGGTTAAAGGATTTAAGCCTTTTTACAATTGAGACATGGATTGTGTATGTGTGCCATTCATAGGGTGAATGGGCAAGACAAAATATTTAAGTGCCTTTGAACGGAGTATGGTAGTAGGTGCCAGGCGCACCTGTTTGTGTCAAGAACTGCAACGCTGCTTGGTTTTTCATGCTCAACAGTTTCCCGTGTGTATCAAGAATGGTCCACCACCCAAAAGACATCCAGCCAACTTGACACAACTGTGGGAAGCAATGGAGTCAACATGGGCCAGCATCCCTGTGGAACACTTTCGACACCTTGTAGAGTCCATGTCCCGACGAATTGAAGCTGTTCTGAGGGCACTGTACACAGTGTATAGGTCCATATACTGTAAGGAAGGGGACAGTCAGTGAACTGACATATAATGGGGTCCTGAGTTTATTACACACACACGTGGCCTGAGTGAGTGAGAGGTGCAGTAAGGTGATGCTAGAGGCTACTAATTACCCACTAGCCCTCAACTGAACCGGCAGAAGGAAATTGGGTTTGTATGTGTGTGTGTGTGTGTGTGTGCGTGTCCATATCTTGATGGGGATGATTAGGGGGATCAGACAGTTTAATTCACTTCCTTCCCCCTCAGTACCAGCCACAGAGGAGGAGGGAGAGGGGGGAGTCAGAGTTAACTATTGGTCGTAGAAGACAGAACGCCAACCAAGTCTCAAGTGGCCCTGACAGGCTTGATGGCTCCTCCAGACTACGCACCCACTGTCTCCAAGGTCAAGCCCCAACCACCTCAAACAGCTTCCTTTCTTTTCTTGTCTCATTTCCTTCTTAACATCTGATCTAAAAGCAGTTGATATGTGAAAGCAGTGCAGTTTAATAAATCCATCCAGGCAGTCCCACGTATCTATGAGGGAGAGGAGATGATAACAGGAAGCCATGTAAGAGAATTAGGACAGAGCCCCCACTCTGTGAATGAGACAACACAGAGAGGTCAGGGGTTAGAGCAGGGTTTCCCAAACTTGGTCCTGGGACCCCGGGTGCACATTTTGTTTTTTTGCCCTAGCACTACACAGCTGATTCAAATAACCAACTAATCACCAAGCTTTGATTATTTGAAATCAGCTGTGCAGTGTTAGGGCAAAAACCAAAACGTGCACCCAGGGGCATCCCCATGACCGAGTTTGGGAAACCCTGGGTGAGAAGTCAGAGTGTAGACGGCATGTAAGCGCTCCTCATGGAGTCTGTCTGCACTGGAGAGGCTTAAACCCACAACAAACACACTATCCCTCTCTATTTAGCCCTCATCGCTGTCTGTCTGTCTGTCGAAAGGGTTTGGCTTCCGCAGAACAGCTACTGGAGGAAAATAGGTATTCATTAAAAAAAACGATATCCAACGTTTGGGTTAGTAGAACACATTTAGAAAGCGGGACAGATTGGCTTTTTGTCTTTGACATAATGACGGATAGCATATCATGGTGCTTTTCCCTAGGTTTCAAAGTACTTACATTCCATGGGGGCATTCCATCCACCACCAGTGTATAACAACATCCAATTTCCCAACATGAGAAATGAGACCAATGGGAAATGAATAATTACCGCTAGTGGCCACAAACAATTCCTGTCGTCTTTATTGGAAAACATAACACACAAAGTTCCATTCTCCTTCCCAGAGCATTACATGAATGAAGTGGAATACAGTCAACAAAGCCAGAGGACCTGAGTAGAGAGCTACAAATCTGAAGAGTAGTCTCTTGAGGTAGTTAGCTGGCTACCTAGTGTGAGATTTGGTTATGGGTTCCGAGAATAGTGAGAGTGCTTGGACAGGCATGATGGGTTGAGCAATGATGTTAGTGTATCAGAGTTGGATTGCTGCTGGGGTTGAAGTTGTCAGTTGGGGTAACATCGCTTTCCTTGAATGTTGTCTTTCAGAGCTAACAAATCTAGGCTATAGCTCAGTGGATGAACAACACTGTCTGTGTAGAGGTTTTAGTGTGTGATACAGCCAGTGTACCCAGTTTTTTCTTCTCTAGCAGGCTAAGAGTCCAGAGCCCTATGCTGCAAATCAGGTTTGAGGAGTTACCGAGGTAACTTTGGTCAACTCGGGATAACCAGTACCGCGAAAGTGGCTCACCTTTTAGCCAGGTACATTTCTATGGCAACGAATCCTTCAGATCTAACCTGCTCCGGGGCAGGCTAACTTGGGGCTAACTCCATTTATCCTGAATGAAGTGTCTGAGCCACAAGTTGAGGACCATCATCCCCTTAATTTGAGGAAGACGACTGATTAAATATTTTATTAATCAAAGTTGTTTTGCGTGTTAAAAATAGTAATTAGTAATGTTCTGATGACGGCCTTGAGGCCAATACGTAAAGCTTAATAAAGAGCAGTGATACTAGCAAGAGCAGTGTGCAGGTTTCTTAATTTTTTCTCAAAAATAGTCATGTTAAAATACCTGTCACATTACACATTTTGTAATGACACAATACATTTGACACTTCATGCACAGTAAAACGTTTGTATGACTTAATAAAATTATTTTATTGATAGGAGTGGGGGAAAAATGCTTGTGCATTGATTTCGGCACATGAAAATGTGGCACTGACTCGCTCATGGATTGATGTTTCAGCATTGTCTGAATGAAGAGTTCAGCTTTCGACTAGCTATGTGCAACATGCACGCGCGGTTACAAGCCTGCTAGAGTTAGCGGCAGGCGGACAAGCAGTGTCCACCGTCTCGGTACGGATGAAGCCTGAGTTGGAATGTGAAGCTAACTGAAGCTGGCTAGCTTTAGAAAACCCTGAGTAGATCTAGCTTCCTTCGCAGTATACCCCTCTGGGCTGTGGAAGGGTAGCTACCAACTAGGACCTTAACTCTGTGGGATAATCCTGTCAGTCATATTCTTCTCTGGCAGGCTAGGGGCCAGCTAAGGTTCTGAGGTAAGACCTTTAGCCCAGTGCGATAACACTGTCAGTACATACCCGGTCTTGTTCTTGTCCAGGAGACTGGGGGCCATGGCTCTGAGGTAGGCACAGGTACATATGAGCAGTAGGATCACTGTTAACAGGCTCTGGAAGTTAAATATGGCAGACTAGAGAGGGAATGACAGAGGTTATTACTGGTTCAACATCCATCGTCTCTCTAGGATGCATCTATGACTCCACATAACCAGGGTAGCTAAATCATACTGTATGTAATGTAATGTAATAGCTATTGCAAAGTCATCAAATAAGTTTCAATCACAGCTAAATACAAATAGGCTTCTTCACGACTGTTAGTTGAAGGCTTTTTAGATTGTCAACACAAGTTTCCAGGTTTATTAGGCTCTATATCTTTCAGTTGGACATGTTCCTGACTGAATTTGAGGGAAACATTGTCTCATCAAGACCTGTAAAAGACAAAAGAATGAACTATTCTGGATGAATCAAGCTAGCTAGCTCTGCTGGCTACAACTAACTTTGCTATCTACTGTAGCTTGCAATAAAAACGTCTAAAACAGGGATACCACTTCCATTTTAGACACAAAACATGCATTTATTTGGAGGGTGAAGTTAGTTAACCTACTTCTTCTTCGATGAGGTTTGATGGCGGTTGGCATCCAATAAATGTTGCATCACCGCCACCAAGTTATTTAATCAAATGTTATGTTTAAGACTTGAATAAACAACTTACCATGTCGGAGCTAGGTCTGCTAGCTAACTAGCTGCTACCGTGCCACCTCACACTTCTGTAGCGTCGCAGACAGATGACGTATGTGGAACAAGGAAGAGACTGAACCGCGGGGTCTGGCGATTTAAACTAGATTTAACACAGGTTGTAGGTTTAAATATCAAATGTCGACCATCGGATATTAAAAGACATACCCAACTATCTAACAACGAAGGCTGGTGCAGTTTGAGGTAGGTCGGACTCTGACGTACTTGATACATGTTGATATGGCCACACGTGTGCTGTGCTACATTGCTCGAGCTTTGTTTACAAACAAGCCTGATGCATGCAAACACAACACTCTAACAATCAACTGAGAACTGGGGTGTAATCATTCATCTAAACAACGTTTTGCCACTAAAACGAGAGTTTCTATTGAACAAATGCAGGTATACTCCCCCCCCCCCTTCCATTAAGAAAAGTTTAGCAACAGAATGAATATACCCATGGCATTCAGTAATAATGGCAAATGAAGTAGGCTACTATGATAATCTCATGTCAGTGGATCTTTGTCATGCATTCTGCTCGCACCATGTAACATTGCCCAGTCCCAAATCAACCCCTACCTCACCTCAGACACTTACTGTAGGCTACATGCTGGTGTCAATGCCTGTCTGTCAAAACAAAATAGAACCTAATAGACAAGATAATTCCTGAAGCCAAGATCGGTGCATCTACATTCTCCATCTCTATTTTAATGGTGTTGTTTTAGTGACTGAATCCATGACTAAGAAAAGAGGAATTGAGGAAATTCTGAGAACGAGGTTTCAGCACCAGTGTGAACAGGAAAGAGAAGTGACAGATGAGTGTGAGTGTGGAGTTTTCAGTTTGTGGCACTCAGTGGTGAGATTTTGTTACTTAACTAGGGGGGGTAGGAGAACTACATGGGTGTGCTGGCTATATCCAGTTATTACATAGAGTTTTACATAGCTGTGGTGTGTGTTGTGGCTGGAATGAAAGCACCTGTGTTTAGTGTTTTCACCATCTTTCTGGTGGAATTTCTCCTGTTCTTTTGAAGTTCCTGTGCTCTCCCTGAGTCTGACCTTGTGTCTATCATTACTCTAAGGTTGTGCACACAGGTGAGTGTGAGTGAGTGTGTCCGTGTGTGTCATTACGGATCTTCTCTACGGGGGTGTGTGTCATTGCTGGCCAGCTGGTGTGTAGGTGCAGATGGTACAGGTGTTACTAGGTGTTAATGAATGACTATCCAACAGGGTGTCAGATGGGTGGGTTAAGCTCCATGGTTCTCCTCATTTAGAGTGCTGCACATCTGAACTCGCATCACGGTCACTGAGCTCTAATGTGTGCAACTTCTTGGTGTTACTGACTGTCACTGTGTATGGGTATAGTGAGAGTCTGAGTGGAACCGTTAATTACATAAGTCTATGTCATGAGTGGAACAGGTGTGAAAAGGATGTTGTGAAGGCAAGGCATTCCACTCTGACTATAGTCATTAGTTTAACTGAGGTAGGCCTAAATAGCGGATAGGTAGAATTTTCTCTCTTCTCAACTTTGTAGTTCGGAAGGAAACATAGGGCCTGTTACAGTTCCTAAAGCTGTGATGACAAGTCCTGTGGGGGTTGGCTGGTTCCCCATTCTTCCAAACCCAGTGGGACAGCCATCACTGCCTGATGCTTTACAGACCCAAACCCACTCGATTCCCCCGCAACACCCCATTACAGGACTGCACTGTCATTTTTACATCCACCCACTGTGGCAGGTAGCCTAGCGGTTAAGAGCATTGGGCCAGTAACCGAAAGGTCACTGGTTCGAATCCCGAGCCGACTAGGTGAAGAATAAAAAAATCTGTCTGTGCCCTTGAGCAAGGCACTTAACCCTATTTGCTCCTGTAAGTCGCTCTGGATAAGAGCGTCTGCTAAATGTAAATGTAAACAATGATCACAATTGTCACAAATATCCCAACTTTGTTTTATTTCCAATACATCGTTTAGATACAAACAGAATTACAGACGGAAAGACCTCACGTGCGTGTGGAGGTGTGAGATGCATGTGACGGTGCGTGAGGTCCGTATCTCCTCAGAGTCAGAGACTTCCTACTTCCTGCGAGTGGAGTGGAGGGGGCGGGACTTAGGCTCTGGCTTCCTGTTACTGCTGACTGACGGACTGAACGCATGGAGAGGAGAGGGTAAACACACAAACACACCTGACGAACACGCACACACAAACATGACCACACACCTGTCTAAACTCTCACCTGAATCTTCCCTCCTTTCCCTCCCTGTAGTATCAGAGGATGGAGTGAGGGAGGAGGCTGAGGAGTTGGAGATGCAGACAGATCGTTACATCCAGGATCTCCAGCAGGCCCTGACTGGGACTGAACCCTCCTCTACTGACTACAGCTTCACCTTGACCTATAACCCCGGCCCAGTGACCAATATGACCCTGGCCTACGAGAAGGTGCAGAGGGACATCTCGGTGAGTGGCGTGGCGAGTCATAACATAGGCTGTGTTTTTTGGCCCCAACAAGTTTAACGACTATCCCTAACCTTTACCATAGCCCTAACCCTATCAAATATTTTACTTGTAGTGTTTATTTGAGTAAGTTAGCCATCCATCATGTGATATCTGATCTGTGTACAGTGTCACATACACTTTGAGGTTCATGTGAGGACGTCATTAGAATTAACAATGATGATGTTTGTATATGATGTCATCCTTAAGAGTTCATGGAAGTGAGAGTGAACTGTGTCTCCAATAACCTCATGTCGTATCTCATATCATATCTCATGTCCCCATTTCCTCTCAGGACCCTCTCACTAGCACTAATTGAGCTAATGAACCCAGGAAGACATTAATGTAGTGAAGCGCCGCTCTAGGAGGTTACCATGCCTTAGAAGTGTTGTTGTTATGTTAGTACCTGTAATCTTCTCTTCCCATAGCTGTTATAGGCTAGTAGTATTAAGCCCTCTATAGGATTAGTGTCATATAACTGTAAAAACAAACAAAATGGAGGCCAGTGGTGTGATGAAATACAGGTAGTTATTATTATCCCAACAGTGGGATATTCGTCTTTCAGCTTCACAGTATATTAAAACACACAAGTCAGTCAGGCAGTCATATCAACAGCAGGGTTGTATTGGATAGTTCAGGAGTGCGTTGTTGTTTCCCAGTGGTAACGTCATCCTAATATTAGCTGTGTTCGAATACTCATACTAACCTTACTATTTGTGACGTAAATTGAGTATGTAGTATGCTTATTGGTCATAGTATGGATATAGTTAGTATGCCAAAAGTTCCCAGATGTCTACTAAATTCGTATACAAGCAGTGGACACTATTTCCGTGCTATTAGGGCCCATAATGCAATTCTTCAGAAAATGGGCGTGGCTTCACAACGTTTTCAGATTTGAAGAAAATTGTGGAAATATGCAGCAGAAGAGCAGATACAAATTCGTTGCTTTAACTAATTATGACAAATGTTAAGAAAATGTCGAGCAATGTAATAAAGTAATTACTTTTCAAATAAGTTACCTTACACGTTATGTTGGCTGACAATTTGTTAGCTACACTATCCTTACGAACCGCATAGCATTACAGTATGTTAGCTAGTTACCATCCTAAAGTTAGTTGGCTACTAATACATCGAACTTGCCAGGCAGTATATTAACTATATGCTATCTAACTAACTACCCAACGTTTATTTATTTGATTATTCAAGTCATTCTTAGCTAAGTGGTATAGTCGTTTCTCAATGGACATTGTTAATTCTGGCTATCTACTCCGACTTCAGAGCACTCTCGTCTGAGTGTGCCAGAGCGCAGAATAACTGATGGATTTACTAACGCTCAACACCCGTTGAATATGGCCGGTGTCAGTAAACGTCGGCAAAAACAAGCGTAATTCAATTGTTGCCAGCAGCACAGTTACAGTCACCAACTCTCTGGAAAACATGAAAACAGCCTAACCAGCTCTGCTAGGGCGAGTAAAATGGTCAGAGTGAGGTGTTCTCTCATTTGTTTTCTGGAAGTAGCTAGCAAGCTAGCCAGTTAGCTTGGGTGCTTGACTGCCGTTGTGAGGTCCAGTGTACGCTCCGAGAGCGAAACGCTTTGAATTTACGAACGGACAATCTGACAACGCTCTGGATTTGCGCACTCTGGCACTCCAGATTGAATTTACGAACACACCCGAAATTGTAAAACATCTAGATAGTCATTTGTTATGCTAACAAGCTAGCAAGAGGTTGCATAGCAACAGCATCAACTTCCGGTAGACAGGCTAGTACGCTCAACTGAAAAGATACTGTTCGTTTACAGTACACTAAAATGAACTAATAGTATGTAGTATATACTCATTAAGTATGTAGGATACATTATGTTAATATGGGTATTCGAAAACAACTATTGTCTTCCTCCGACTCCCTGCTTTGACAGGAAAATTATCCTCATGTTGTACTGTAGAATACTATCACTATGGAGTTTAAACACACACATAGCCAGCTTAGTGACAGTCAGTGTGCTCAGAGGTCAACCACACACACACAAGTCTACTTTGTGCTTTGTTGCCATAGTAATAGGGTAATGACAGAATGGAAATCCTAGTGCATGTGTTTCAGGAGAAAAGGGAAATGAATAGAATTGACTTCTTCAGAAACGAGAGTTTTGGACCAGGCCGTTTACAGAAGTTTCTGTGGTGCATCATCCAAGAGGAAGAAGTGCCTAGCATTTTCTGTTGCTCAACAGTTTATAAAAATATGAAATTATTCATCATAGAAATATGACTCATTATCAAATGATCCAAGTCTGATGTCTGGTCATGCAACAGCAGTGTGTGTATGCATGTGTGTGTGTTTGTGCATGTCTGTTGTGTAATTTCTGCCGAGAGTGAGGTTTTATTGACACCAGCTGTAAGGAAAGGAAGAACCTTACAATAACCTTGTAGAACCGTATACTGTAGAACCATGTAGAACTCTGTAAAACAGACCTGGACAGGGAGAATTAGGAACACCTGGGTGGATGTTGTTTGGTAAATGTAAAGATGGGAATGAGATCTTCCTGTTTTTACTGCACGTCACTGGCCCATAGCATCAGCCCCAGGAAGGCTCCCACATAGCTGCGAGGGTATTATCACCATTACCATACCAGCAGTGATCAGTGTATCATCAAACAGCAACATGTATTTGACAATAAACAGTCATAGTATGGCCCACGGGGCAGCCATTTTCCACTAGTCAGTGGGTTTCCTCAGATCAGTGATATTGTGCAACTTTACATTTGATTTTAATTTGGGAGAACCATTCCAGTATTTTTATAGTATGTGAATAACTGAGTATTGTTGACTTGTCATCCTTTCCCTCTCTGATTTAGCTTTTCCTCTGTCGTTCTTCTCTCTTCTTTATCCTCTTTTTTTCATGGTGTTGATTTTATGCAGTCTAATGTCTCTCAGATCTTGTTGAGTAGCTTTGTGTGTGTGAGGATGTGTGGTCTCTATTCTCTTACTGTGTGCAGGTGGGTGTGTGTGTGTGTAGAGTCACAGGTCTAAACTACCCCCTGAACCCACTGATCATTCCCTCTGAGACCTGCTTTGAAAACCAACTCCAGAACCAGCATGTGGATCCATTTACACCAGGACTGTGTGTGAATGTGTGTGTGGCTGGGCTATGTGTGTGTAAATGTGCGGAGGTTAATGGTTTTCATCACTAGTAGATGGACCAGTGTAAAGAGAGTCCCTGTATGGCCAACGTGGGGCACAAACCAAGGTTCACAACAACACCATTATCTGGTTGCCGGTGAACTCACCACCAATACACTACCACTGAATCCCTCACAGCAGAAGCAGCAGTAGTTGTGGTTACTTTAGGAGCGATCCAGTACTTTAGGAGTGATCCAGACACCACAGTGATGTAGTAGTGACAGTTTCTACCCAAATAGATTCTAATTCTCTCCATTAGTTAATAATTGAGTCTGAGTCACAGGGAGAGAGAGGCAAATCCAGAGAGAGTCTGAAACAGTAATGTTTCTATGACGACTAATGGAAGCTCTGCCCGAGTCAACATTTCATAGCCAACCTGGTGGCGATCGATCATGATACCGGCCAATAGTGTTCGGGGCCAAATCATTATTGACCAATCGTTTTACTGCCCGTGTCTTTACCGGCCAATCAAGTAACTGTCCAACTCGTTAAGGTGGGCACAAGTATATGTGTGTTACACGTGCATAGATTAACTCTCTCCCTTCCCTAATCCCACCCCTGTCTCTCCCCTCCAGTTCCGCCTGGGTTCTGTGTTGCTGTGTAAGATTCCAGAGCCAGTGGAGGAGGTCAGAGCATTACTGACTCACGGTCTAGAACGTGGAACCGCACTGCAGAACCACAACCACTTACTAAAGGAGGAGAACCACAGACTCAAACAGGAGCTACAACACATCAATGCAGAGTAAGACTTTGTGTCTGTGTGTGTGTGTGGGTGTGTGGCTGCTGAGAATGGAAAATAGTGCTGAAAGGGGGCCTTAATGACGCACAGACCTGAGAACTCAACACAGAGGCCAAGATCAAACACACACACACAAAGGATGAGGGAATCCCTCGCAAGTGAGTTTTGAGGGCAGCTCCCATCACCTAGACTGAATCCATGTGTTTCTGATCATCTCATTGCTGTAGTTTCTCTGATTCTGAAATAGAATATAGAGGTATTGTGTTGCGGAGGGGGGGGGGGGGGGGGGGGGGGGGGGGGGGATGTGTCAATGTTCCCTGGCAACCAACACCAGACACAACAAACCTAAACACTGACTGGATTCAGAGGGAAAGGCTGCGTCAGGGCTGGAGAATTAGACTGTCCCCTTAAGTTATCTTATGACATAAATAAATGGCACAGTCCCATTTCTATCCATACCAATGGAGGGATTGTTGGTGTAAATGCATTTTCTTCCATCCCCTTGTAACTAACTCTAACCCTGATTTCCTGCTCTGTTTCGGATAAATCCGAGCAGTATGTTGGGGGTTTGGAGAATCTCGAGGTTCTCTAAACTCTAACACGACCTGTGTGTGTGTGTACGCGTACGCATCTGTGTGTGTGTAGGTTGCAGCGGTATGTCAGTGGCAAGGAGACACTTGAGTCAGAGCTGTACTCTCGCTTCATCCTGGTGCTGAATGAGAAGAAGGCCAAGATACGCAGTCTACAGGAGAACCTCACACACCTGCAGGAGACCAGGTACATAGTACACACACATCCCCCATCGTTGACCTAACCTAACGTTACCCCACAGGGGGATGTCTGACCATGAGGAACCCCCTCAAGGTCACAGGATATCACTCATATTATTTCCACACCCCTCTGTAATAAAGGGATATGATCTGATTGACCAAGAGGGTTTGACTTATCAAGGTAACTTCCTTTGATATGTTTATCATCTATGTGGTAACCCCTTGTGATATATCCTGATGGTTTGGTGTTGGTGATTTGGCCATCTGGTGGCACATGCCAGTATGTAAGTGATGAAAGGTGTTATTAAGGTGATGAGGAAATATACAACCTGCCGGTACCACATTTAATCCCATACTGTTCAATATAAACGAATTACCAGGCAAATATACAGGTAACTGCCAAAATAAAGGAAACACCAACATAAAGCGTCTTAATAGGGCGTTGGGCCACAACGAGCCAGAACAGCTTCAATGTACCTTGGCATAGATTCTACAAGTGTCTGGAACTCTATTGGAGGGTTGCGACACCATTCTTCCACGAGAAATTCCATAATTTGGTGTTTTGTTGACGGTGGTGGAAAACGCTAACTCAGGCGCCGCTCCAGAATCTCCCATAAGTGTTCATCTGGGTTGAGATCTGGTGACTGAGGCGGCCGTGGCATGTGGTCCTCTGTAGCTCAGCTGGTAGAGCACGGCGCTTGTAACGCCAAGGTAGTGGGTTCGATCCCCGGGACTACCCATACACAAAAATTTATGCACGCATGACTGTAAGTCGCTTTGGATAAAAGCGTCTGCTAAATGGCATATTATTATTATTATTATATGGTTTACATCGTTTTCATGCTCCTCAAACCATTCAGTGACCACTTGTGCCCTGTGGATGGGGGCATAGCCATGGTAGCCAGAATAATGGCCAAAATAATGGCCTGCACAGCATTTTTATACATACATGAACAGCATAATGGGGTGTTAATTGCTTAATTAACTCAGGAACCACACCTGTGTGGAAGCACCTGCTTTCAATATACTCTGTATCCCTCATTTACTCAAGGGTTTCCATTATTTTGGCAGTTACATGTGCGCACAGTATACAAAACCTTCCCAAGTTTTGATCTTTAACACGTGCACGTGTGTGTGTGTGTTTCAAGCGTCTGTATATCTCTGGTCTCTCTAACAGGGAAGAGGGAGAGAGCAGCAGTCCAGGGAAGAGAACGAAAAAGACGACAGGACAGACCAGAGAGGAGGAAGATGAATATGAAGCGAGCACTGATGAAGACCAGTCCCAGCCTGCCTCTTTAGAACCCACCCAGGGTAGGGTATACAGATGTAAACTCATATAAAGAAGAAGCACACGTTCAAGTGTCCTTAAAGCTTGTTAAAAGTAAACTTGTCACTGGCAGTGTGTTTGCGTAGTGGTCTCGTAGTGATGACAGAGCATGTGTGATCTCCATCCTGGAGAGAGTGTTTAGAGCAGATTTACTCTGGGTTACATTAGAGCTGTGTGTGTGTGCGTGTGTGTGTGAGCGATAGAGAAAATAGTGTGTGAGAGTTGTGTGTGTGTGTGTGTGTGGTCCCCCTGATTGTAGTCTCTAAGCACTGTCTCAGAGGAGGTGGCTCTGAGGGAAGAGTTGGAGGGTGTAAGGGATGGTTGACTAGGAATGATAATAGCCCCCGCTACACTACAATCATGGAGCTCAGAAGATCCCCCCCCCCCCCCCCCCCCCCGTTTGTGTCCAGTCCAGTATATGAAAGCATTTATCCTGTACAGTCTCATCATGAACCCTAACCCATAAATGTGAACTTAACCTACTGCAGTTTGTCTATCTAAATTCAAAATGTGAGGTGAAGCCCCCAAATAATTATAATAGCACCCCCCCCCCCCCCCCCCCCCCCCCCCCAGTACCATCATGCAGCTCAGAAGATCCCCCTGTGTATGTCCAGTGTATGAAAGCATTTATCCTGTACAGACTCATTATTAACCCTAAATTAACCCACTACACTCTGTCTCTGTCTAAATGTAAGGTAACACGGGACTTAATGTAGCATAAGTTTACCTTATCTTACCTTATGGTTAAGCTGTTTATTATCTATGCATAGTCACTTTACCCCTACCTACATGTACATATTACCTCAATTACCTCAACTAGCCTGTACCACAGCATATTGACTCGGCACCGGTACTCCCTGTACTGTATATAGCCTTGTTATTGTTATTTCTATTGTGTTACTTATTTTTTTACATTAGTTTATTTAGCAAATATTTTCTTAACTTTTATTTTCTTAAAACTGTATTGTTTTTTAAGGGCTTGTCAGTAAGTTTTTCACGGTAAGGTCTACACCTGTTGTATTCAGCGCATGTGACAAATACAATTTAATTTGATTTGAAGTGTGTGCTCAAAGAGGGAAAAACCAGCCGTATTCCAAGAATCATGTAAGCGTACATTACACATGGCATGACGGGCAGTCATGGTAGCGCGATGTGTGGTGTGTGTGCACTCGTGCCTGTGTGTGTGTACGGAATCTGTCTGATTCTGTCTATATGACTGGTGTTATTCCAGCCCAGCCAGGCACCAGCGACGACGTCAGTGAGTGATGATTGCGTAACCCTCTGTGAGTGATTAGTGTAGCGGGCCTCTCTGACCTGCCTGGAGCACCTACCGGGTCAGACACCACTTATAGAGTAGACTGTGCTGGTATAGTGGGTATGGGGCCCTTTGGGGAGGTGGGTATAGGGCCCCTAGGCCCCCTTTCTCTCCCAGCTGTGTGTTGTGATTGAGGTGGTAAATAAGGGTTATTGTTGGGGTAAATGGTAGGTATAAAGGTTTATTTACTTTACGTACAGTACTAGTCAAAAGTTTGGACACCAACTCATTCCAGGGTTTTTCTTTATTTTTACTATTTTCTACATTGTAGAATAATAGTGAAGATGTCTATGAAATAACACATGGAATCATGTAGTAACCCCAAAAAGTGTTAAACAACATATATTTTATATTTGAGATACTTCAAAGTAGCCACCCTTTGCCTTGATGACAGCTTTGCACACTCTTGGCATTCTCTCAACCAGCTTCAGGAGTTAGTCACCTGGAATGCATTTCAATTAACAGGTGTGCCTTGTTAAAAGTTTTTTTTTTTGTTGAGCCAATCAGTTGTGTTGTGACAATTTAGGGGTGGTATACTGAAGATAGCCCTTTTTGGTAAAATACCAAGTCCATATTATGGCAAGAACAGCTCAAATAAGCAAAGAGAAACGACATTCCATCATTACATCAAGACATGAAGGTCAGTCAATCCGGAAATGTCAAGAACTTTGAAAGTTTCTTCAAGTGCAGTCGCAAAAACCATCAAGCGCTATGATGAACTGGCTCTCATGAGGACCGCCACAGGAAAGGAAGACCCAGAGTTACCTCTGCTGCAGAGGATAAGTTCATTAGAGTTAACTGCACCTCAGATTGCAGCCCAAATAAATGCTTCACAGAGTTCAAGTAACAGACACATCTCAACATCAACTGTTCAGAGGAGACTGTGTGAATCAGGCCTCCACTACTAAAGGACACCAATAATAAGAAGAGACTTGTTTGGGCCAAGAAACACGAGCAATGGACATTAGACCGGTGGAAATCTGTCCTTTGGTCTGATGAGTCCAAATTTGAGATTTTTGTAGGTGAACGGATGATCTCCGCATGTATGGTTCCCACCGTGAAGCATGGAGGAGGTGGTGTGAAGGTGTGGGGGTGCTTTGCTGGTGACACTGTCTGTGATTTATTTAGAATTCAAGGCACACTTAACCAGCATGGCTACCACAGCATTCTGCAGAGATACGCCATCCCATCTGGTTTGCGCTTAGTGGGACTATCATTGGTTTTTCAACAGGACAATGACCCAACACACCTCCAGACTGTGTAAGGGCTATTTGACCAAGAAGGAGAGTGATGGAGTGCTGCATCAGATGACCTGGCATCCACAATCACATGACCTCAACCCAATTGAGATGGTTTGGGATGAGTTGGACCGTAGATAGTAAAAATAAAGACAAACCCTTGAATATGTGTAGGTGTGTCCAAACTTTTGACTGGTACTGTGTAGGGGAGGTAGGTAAGATCCCTAGAAGTCTCTCTGTATCTCCCAGATGTGTGCTGTATTGAGATGGTGGATTAGGGTTATAGCAGGGGTATTTGGTAGATAGGTAATGGTTGTGTCCCTCCCTCTAACAGCTGTATTTTGTAAACTGATGGGCAAATATTCACAGGTTCCTGTGTTGCTTTGGTTGCCATGACAATGAATCAGTTTATTAGTGTGTTGCCAGGAAGGGCAGAGAAAATGGGGAAGGGGCAAAGTGGTTATGTTTTCAGTAATGAGTTTGAGATAAACTGTGTGTGTGTGTGTGTGTGTTATAACACACTTGACAAGTTTATTTTCTTTCTGCCAGTCTGGTCTTGGCTAGCCCCATACCAAGCTGTGTGGCTTGTAGCCTATATGTCGTTAAATGTGTGTGTGTGTGTGTGTGTGTGTGTGTGTGTGTGTGTGTGTGGCTGTGTCGTTAACTGTGTGACGGCGGTTTATAACGACCCAGGTGTCACATTATGGCTACAGGCACCATGGATTGACCCCCATTTACCCAATGTCTCACCCACTCCAGTTGCTTTTTATTGTATTTTATTTACCGGCCTGCCTGCCTGCCTAATGTGATGAATGAGGCTATTCATTTTAACACAGTGTTTTTACAGACTGCCAGCCTGAGTGACCAGAGACTCATGTTACTGTTACACACTGAATAGAACTCTATTAGTCTATGAGTAATAATGCTGAAGCAAGAATATTACCTCCCCTGTACTTGGTTTAATGGAATAATAAGCAAGCAGTTTTGATGCTGGTGATGCTGATGTATCCCCCATCCATGTGTCTATTTCCTCCTCCCTCCTCCACTTGTCTACTGTGGGCACGTTTCTCTGTCCTCCCATCAGTCAAATGGGCTGATCTGTGGAAGGAAGGGGACACCTGTGAGAGGGGGAGAAAGGGGGAACCGGGAATGGAGGGAGAGAGGGAGGGAGGGAAGGAGAAGCACACAACTCCTTCCTTCCTGGACAGACCAGATGTGGGTGGCTGCAGACCCAAACTCTGCTTGTGTTCACTGTGTTTCAGAAGCTGAGAAACATGTAGCTATGTAGCTAGCAATGTAGTAGATGTTTCTAACATCTTTCATTGTAGAGTCAACTAAATTCAGTTTACGACCAAATCTTACAATTGGACTCCGTATTGACTCTGCGTGACTCAGTAGCACAAAGGTTAAATTAATATACCTTCAGAAAGTATTCATACTCCTTGACTTATTCTACATTTTGTTGTGTAACAGCCTAAATTCAAAATTGATTAAATCGTTTTTTTTCACACCCATCTACAAACAATAGTGAAAACATGTTTTTAGAAATGTTTGCAAATGTATTGAAAATATCTAATTTACTTAAGTATTCACACCCCTTTGGCAGTGATTTGAGTCGTCTGTATCAGCTTTGCACACCTGGATTTGGGAATTTTCTCCCATTCTTCCTTGCAAATTTTCTTAAGCTCTGTTAAGTTAGATGGGGAGCGGCGGTGTACAGCAATCTTCAAGTCTTTCCACAGATTTTGTCTGGCTTTTGGCTGGGCCACTCAAGGACTTTCACATTATTGTTCTGAAGCCATTCCAGCGTTGCTTAGGCTGTATACTTTCTGAAGGCACTGTATTTTGACTCTGTACTGACTCTTGTGTGTTCGCTCCTCAGGGACGTCGCGTAGCCGCAGCCCATTGGACGACAGTCTGAATGACATCACAGATGTGGCACCCTGCCGTAAACGCCGCTTCCGCCACCTGCAACCTCCTGACACCGTTGCTAAGAGACCGACCCTGGAGCCAGCGCAGAAACAGAGGTACGGATACAACACACACCCCACACACACTCCACATTTCCTTCTCAGATGTCTCTACTGCCAGACTCTAAATCATTAGGTAATCCTCATATATGTGTCTGTGACACCTCTGACCGAAAATAGCAGCTTTACACACTCACACACAAATAGTGGCAAAGGTGGCTGAGAAACACACAGGGCTATGACGTGATGATGAGTTTCCCAACATGGTCTCCTGTGTAGATATGTGTTGTAGATCTGTTGTCCTGACTCCTGAGTGCTGGTTTCTGTCTGCCAAACACACGTCCACTGAGCTTTGGTCTTTCTCTGTATTTCTCTTCTCTGAAATGGGAATGTCACTTCGTTCTTCCCCCCCAGCTCTCTCCATCTCTCTTTCTTGCTGTCTCTCTTTCTTCCTCGCTCCCTCCCTCCCTCCCTCCCACCCCAGCCACTCTCACGATGTCTGAGACTTTGTCATAGATATGTAAAAGGCACTTGCCTTTCCACTGATAGTCTGTCTCTGTCTGTGTTTATGAATGGGAAAATAACTTCAAGTTATGTAGCGCTGCTACAGCTTTACACTCCTAGCAACAGGTGAGCTCTCAAACAAGACTGGATCACAACATAGGGAAATACTGTAGCTTTGAAAACCAAAGTATTTTAGCCAAATTACGTACATGATTGTGCGATTTACATGGAAGCTGTCATAAACTGGTCCACTCTGGCCACCTCACAATGGTGACAACATGTCTATTAACACGTGACACCATCTCTCAGAGCGTGTGTATGTGTTCTTGCTTGCGCACTTGCGCGTATGTGCGACTGCGTGTATGAACATGTGACAGAGCCTCTCTCCCTGCTCTAGTCCATGAGTCACACATGACAGGCATAGAAAACATTTAATCACTAGACCAACAGTGGACCGACCAGAGAGGGTTGGAAGAGCCTGGGCTTTTAAAATTCCCTTGAGTAATCCCTATAAATAAAATAATCACCCTAAAATACAGATAGTAGCTTGGCGTGGTTAATTGAACCTGGTGTTTGAAGAGGGGAGGAAATGAGGATAGATGTGAGGAGGAGACAGGAAATGAAATGAGTGGAAGGGAGAGAGGAAAGCAGGAGACAGGAGAGAAGGAGATGGGGACAAAAAGAGGATCATGATGTTAAAGAAGCTAGCTCGTAAGGACACTTAACTGTGTGACATTGTTCCTGGTGTCATGGATCTGCTTGTGGCTGCCATGCAGTGACAGAGGAAGACATAATGACACTACCTCCTAGTCCTGAGGAGAGGAAAGGAGAAGAGAAGAGAAGAGAAGAGAAGAGAAGAGAAGAGAAGAGAAGAGAAGAGAAGAGAAGAGAAGAGAGAAGAGAAGAGAAGAGAAGAGAAGAGAAGAGAAGAGAAGAGAAGAGAAGAGAAGAGAAGAGAAGAGAAGAGAAGAGAAGAGAAGAGAAGAAACGGGTCGGTCCGCCTCGAGGAAGAGGGGTCATTCCACCTCAAAAAGCACAAGAAAGAGGTTTGACGTCCACCATCTCAGATTGTTCTGATATTGTTTCTGTTGTTAGAAACAGATAAGATTAGCATTCCTGCAACATTATTTTGTTGAAATATAATTTGATCTCTGAGAAATTAAGCTAATTGATTGCACCAAAATTGGCAATTTTAATTATTCAATAAATATAGTACCTAACGTCCAATTTGGACCAAACTTTTTTTCTAACAGTAACCAGGTTTCCATCCAACCTTGTTTTGCGAGTAAAGTCCATAACAATAATCTCATGTAGGCTATATGTGTGCTCTCGCTAATAGCGCTGTTGGCTAGAGCGCACATGCCAGTTTGCACACTCGCTATATAACACCATTTTGTTGGTGAGAAAACCATCAGTAGGGTTAAAAATGCTATGGAAACCCATTTGACTTGTATTTTTTATTCGGTACAAGGGAATTTAACCGCAAAAGGTATTTTATGTGCACTACGTCATCACGCACAGCCTTTTAACTGCAACAGGTACATTTGATGGAAACACATATCTGGTGGGAAAATTGACTTTTTTTTTTAATGCAGATTTGAGAATATTCACATGAAAATCTGTCGCCAATTGGATGGAAACCTAGCTATTGAGTTAGACATGAGGAATCCAAAGGAATTGTCAAAAAGTTAGCATTTGAAACAGTGGCCAGGTAAACAAAACCAAAGCATGGGTTGCTGTCATACCTGGTCCATAGACTGCTTACAGGGTAAGAAAAGCAGTATGTACTTTTATAATTTGGGTGAACTATCCCATTAACAATGGGATTCTTAAAAAAAGTATCACCTAATAGCAGGAACAGCACCATCTAGTGGTCAGAACCTGTTAATATCAGGATGCAGGATGGGACATAAACCCAACAACTTAAATTACTAATTTCTGTGAACAGGGGGAAAAAACATGGGTGTCATGGCTTGCTGAAATGACATGGAACAACCAGGAGAGGACAAGAGAAGGGAGGAGAAAGAGAGGAGATTCAACAGAACGGAACAGTGTATTTGGTGGCCCATAGTGTCTCGATGTTGTAGCTGCCCAGTCGGACGTTCCTGAACTTACCCAACCAGCTGACCTCACACTTTCCACTCCTGCGGTGTGCTAGAGGACAACCTGTGGAAAACACCACAGCTGGCCACCCGAAGGCCCTATCACGTCTACACTGAAGCTCACTTTATTGGTGTTAAAATGCCACTGCTCTCCTGCAGTCTCTCTGGCTTTATGGTGCTGCTGATTGTGTTTTAGACTACAACGCACACACATACTGGCACATACTGGCACACACACACAACAGGTTGCTGCAGGCGGTCCAGCTGGTCATGGGAAGATTGGTACTGTTACTGTACATCAGCCGAAGGAGAAATAACTCTTGACACGATAAGACCCGAAGACATGTTTTAGCTGCTGCTCTTTGTTCTGAAAGCTGTTGTTTATTTCTCAGCGTTCTTGTTGGATGTTGATATAAAAGCACAGTGTGGTCTAAATATCAGATCATATGTCTGTTGATTAATAATGTCATGTGGGGACATTGGATATTAAGAGAGGATTCTGGGTAAAGCTATGGAGATCAGGCACAGACTGACAGTCCAGTAGGGGATCTGATTAGAGAAAGTCTTATACTGAACAAAAATATAAACGCAACATGAGCTGAAATAAAAGATCCTAGAAATCTTCCATATGCACAAAAAGCATATTTCTCTACATTATTTTGCACAAATTGGTTTACATCCCTGTTAGTGAGCATTTCTCCTTTGCCAAGATAACCCATCCACCTGACAGGTGTGGCATATCAAGAAGCTGATTAAACAGTATGATTATTACACAGGTGCACCTTGTGCTAAGGACAATAAAAGGCCACTCTAAAATGTGCAGTTTTGTCCCACAACACAATGCCACAGATGTCTCAAGTTTTGAAGAAACATGCAATTGGCATGCTGACTGCAGGAATGTCCACCAGAGGTGTTTCCAGAGAATTGAATGTTAATTTCTCTACCATAAGCCGCCTCCAACATCGTTTTAGAGAATTTGGCTGTACGTCCAACCGGCCTCACAACCGCAGACCACGTGTAACCACGCCAGCCCAGGACCACCACATCCGGCTTCTTCACCTGCATGAGACGAGCCACCTGGTGAGCTGATGAAACTGTGGGTTTGAACAACCAAAGGATTTCTGCACAAACTGTCAGAAACCGTCTCAGGGAAGCTCATCTGCGTGCTCGTCGTCCTCACCAGGTTCTTGACCTGACTGCAGTTTCAACTGTACTGGGCAGATGGCAGACAGTGTGTGTGGTGTCATGTGGGCGAGCGGTTTGCTGATGTCAACATTGTGGACAGAGTGCCCCATGGTGTCGGTGGCGTTTAGGTATGGGCAGGCATAAGCTACAGACAACGGAACACAATTGCATTTTATCGATGGCAATTTGAATGCACAGAGATATCGTGACGAGATCCTGAGGCCCATTGTCGTGCCATTCATCCACCGCCATCACCTCATGTTTTAGCATGATAATGCACAGCCCCATGTCGCAAGGATCTATACACAATTCCTGGAAGCTGAAAATGGCCCAGTTCTTCCATGGCCTGCATTCTCACCAGACATGTCACCCATTAAGCATGTTTGGGATGTTCTGGATCGACGTGTACGAGAGTGTGTTCCAGTTCCCGCCAAAACCCAGCAACTTCGCACAGCTATATAAGAGGAGTGGGACAACATTCCGCAGGCCACAGTCAACAGCCTGATCAACTCTATGTGAAGGAGATGCATGAGTCAAATGGTGGTCACACCAGATACTGACTGGTTTTCTGATCCACGCCACCTACCTTTTTTTTAAGGTATCTGTGAACAACAGATGCGTATCTGTATTCCCAGTCATGGGAAATCCATAGATTAAATGCTTTATTTATTTATTTCAATTGACTGATTTCCTTAAATGAACTGTACCTCAGTACAATCTTTGAAATTGTTGCATGTTGTGTCATTTCTTTATGTAAAAGGCATTATACTCAGTGGGACTTGAGTTGTAGAGATTGTGGATCTGTCCGTTTACTGTTCTGCTGTGCATCGGCTGATTTTCCCAAATGGACCCTTTCTGATCTAGATCATACTGTAGTTCACACACACACACACACACATACACAAACGCATACAAGACAAGGTATTGACACAGTGCTGTATGTGTACTTGTGTGTGTGTACTCGTGTGTTTCCGCATGTATGTGTGGTTGCATGGTGCTGGTTTGCGTAGGTTTATAAACAATACTTGGCACAAACTATTAAAGACTGGCACATCCATACTCCCACACACACTAACCTTCTCCATCTGAGGCTCAGAGACAGGGATCTGTGTTTACATCAGTCAGCTCTACCTTCTGCTTCATACAGAAACATTACCCTTGGGGGGTTGCTGGTATGTCACAGGACCACCTGTGTGTGCGTGCGAGTGTGTGCGCTTCCAGGAGTGTAACTGTTTTCTCATATTGGTGATAACGATTGAAAACAAGTTGGATGGCTTTGCTCTCTACATACACCACACCACACACACACACCACACTGTGGCCTGTCAGTCAGAGGCCAAAGGTCAGAGGTGAGCCTTGTTAATGAGATGATTTACTAGGAGCAAGTGGGTGAGGTCAAATAGAGCTCCTCAAAACGAATACACCTGAGGAAAGAGAGCTAACCACCCACCTACTTTATTCTTTCTCTTCCTCTCCATTTCTCAACTTTCTCTCTCTGTTTTACCGGATAATTTGTGACTTCAGTTTTCCGTCTGCATAGGGAAGTACTGACAACGCAGTAACCATGGTCATATTTCCCTCCTTCCTTCTGTACTTTCAGTAGGGAAGAAATCAAGAGTGCGGATTTCATCTACACACACACATTTACGACATTGCCAGTTCTGTCTAGATTGTTAGCCCTCATTAATATTGCGGCTGTGTTTAACGAGGGGACTGCTGGATGGTGGAAGGACGTGAGGAGTTGATTGTGTTAAAGGGATACTTCGAGATTTTGGCAATTAAGCCCTTTATCTACTTCCCCAGAGTCAGATGAAACCGTGGATACCATTTTTATGTCTGCGTGTGCGGTTTGAAGGCAATTGCTAACTAGTGTTAACGCAATGACTGGAAGTCTATGCTTATCTGCTAGTATGCTAGCAGATTCCCATAGACTTCCAGCATGGTAGCAGATTCCCATAGACTTCCAGTCGTTGCGCTAATGCTAGTTAGCATTGGCTCGCAAAACTACCTCTAACTTCCTTCGTACTGGACACAGAGACATAGAAATGGTATCCACAAGTTCATCTGAATCCTCATTGTCAAATGTATCCCTTTAATGTGTTTCAAGGTTCTTCTGTCAGTTCAGTATATGACTAATAGCTCTGTTAAAGTGGTGTGTATCAAACCTGTTTACTCATTAGCAGTTACTGTAGTATGTTACAGTGGAGTATCTCAGCTCAAAGATGCACACATACACACACACACACACACACACACACACAGTGCCACAAACCTGCTCCCAACTATTGACACACTGTTTCCACAAAGGAGAGAGCTTGGCGTGTGTGTGAATGGTTTATATGTGTTGTTTGAACTTTTGGGGGGGGGAGTGGTAATGGGTTGTGTGTGTGTGTGTGTGGGTGGGGGGGGGGGGGGGGGGGTGCCTGCGTGTGTGCACTTTATAATGGAGTCCATATCTCCCTGTGTGTGTTGCCTCTAGGTAGGTTTGCAACTTGCAAAACTACCGATTAATATATCAAAGTTACCGGAACTTTCGGTAGTTTTGGTAATAACAGGTAATCTATGGCAATCTATGGTAACTTTGGTAATTTATACTTAAATAACTTTAGAAAAATGTATTAATATACAGTATATAGTATAAATGTTTTATATCTGTCCATATTGTCCATTTGTTTATAGTAGAAAGACCATATGGTTCAAGAGAAAACAGCCAAATTATTGATAGAAGTATATAATCAATAATGGCATTATTTTCAATTAACTCTGCAACTCTTCCAACTATAGATTTTTTTCACAGCTGCCACCATTTTGACGCCGAAACAACATTTACAACAAAAACATATTGACATAGTAAAATCAATGTGTGTCAAAAAATATACAGTATATTTCATGTTAAAAGCGTCATAATAAACACCAATGGTATTCACTAAGTTGATGGTTTATATTTAGGATAATGTTTTACAGCTTTGCCAATCTATTTTTTTATTTTAATATCGTTTTATGATTATTTTATATATTTTACATGTGATAAGGCCACACAGATTGCCCACGGGGGGCAAGTATATAAAAAATTAAATACATGTATGCACTCATTAACTGTAAGTCGCTCTGGATAAGAGCGTCTGCTAAATGACTAAAATGTAAAAGAAATTGCCAGAGATAATTAGACAGCTGTGATCATCTGAAATACCCCAAAAGGCCACTAGATGTCATGTGATAAAATTCCAAAAGATAACTAGGAAGTTACCTAAATGCTGATAGTTTACTGGTAAACTTTTTACAAATGTCCAGTAATATACCCTCCCTTTGCAACCCTACTTCCAGGTTTGTTATGAGGAGTGTTTGAGAATGAAAGCAACACTATGCTGGAAACTGTCACCCCTAATCAGGATAATAGGTAATTTATTGATTTGTAGAAACTACAGTACTTTGGATTGAATAAAGAAACACACCTTTTTAAACGTAGTGAAAACCTGATATAAATGTGTAAAAACATATAAACGTTTTAACCCTTTAACAAACCAACCTGCAGTGTCAGGCTGATTGTAGTCAATCACTCTTCTGTTTGCTGTAGGTCATTCAGCAGGTGAGTGGAGCAGACCTAGGCAGAAAATAGTTGTTTTTTTGTAGTTTATTTGAAAATACGAATTCAAATACTCAAGGTAGTTGAATATAGTTTACTGTAATCCATAGAAGGGTTTTGGAACCTCTAACCTTGGCAATTGGACTGTTAAACTCATGTACACTAGCAATGGCTACCAGTCTTGACTTGAGTGGGAACTGCCATCTATGGATTATATGTCTATGGTTGGTTACGGCTGTCAATTTTCCTTTTGCAAATTTCAAAATACAATCGCGCGAAAAACGTACAGTTTGGAAAGCAAATGCTGTCATTACTAAATGTGTAATGTGATAGACATTACTATTTTCTTATACACAAAACATTTGATTAATAAAATATTGAATCAGTCTCTTCCAAATGAAGGGGATGATGAGACAATATTTGTGAGAGGGAGGGTATCGGATTTCATTGGTCCTCAACTCGCAGCTCAGACACTTCATTCAGGATAAATGGAGTTAGCTTGCCCCGGAGCAGGTAAGTTCTGAAGGATTTGTTGCCAAAGAAATGTAACTGGCTGAAAAGTGAGCCACTTTCCTGGTACCGGTTATCCCGAGTTGAACTCAGACCCAAAGTTACCTCGCTAACTCCTCAAACCTGATTCGTAGTATAGGGCTCTTCTCTCCTCTGTGTTTGTGTGCGTGTGCGTGCATGTATGTGTGCGTGCGTGTCGAAAAGTGCAGACAGCCCTAGGTTTGAATATCAGTGGTATGCATTCAGTGTGGTTTTCCATACAGGAAGACAGCCATTGGTTAGAAAACAAATGAAAAACCCTGCACACTCCGATGGCTCCGACGCAATACATGTAATAATCAATTCAATCAACAACAGTCATTGCTTTACTGCTTGGGTTAGACTGACATTTTTGTGTGTGTATTGGCAGGAGGGATCCCCTGCCATCGTCCAGAGCAGCAGCCAATCAGGACCAGGCTCCCCAGCTCCCTGATGTCAGTCCTGATGCTGAGGACCTGTTTGAGGACATCTGAGTTCTAACCACTCACTCCTCAATCAAATTATTTCTATCCCTCACTCCTTATATCTCTCTCTCCTCCATCACTTACGTCTGTCACTCTATCAGCCGGTCCCAACTCTCTTAGAACCCCTTCCCCTAATTAACCCCTTTCATGTTTGTAAATCTGAAAGATCAGGATAGGTATAAACAGTGTGGTGATGGAGCTTCCACCCTATTCCTTACAGATCCAAACTTAAAAGTGTATTATTGATATCATGAATTTGGCATCCTATTTATAGTGCTCCTTGTCCCAGTCTATAGGGCTAATGGTAACTACTTCTAAACTTACAAAAATCCAATCAACCATGGATGAATGATAGTATACCTAGTTTCACGCTGAAATTATGGTGTCCTTTGGGCAAATCAGATGTCAATGTAGCCTACATAAACCTAACCTCAGTCGGAATTTACTTTCACATACACTTAAAAAAATAAAATAAAAATTATTCAGCGTACAACTGTAAAGCAGCTAGCCAGGCACGGCTCGAGGATGACATGCCTCCACTCTGAAGCTACTGATCTGCACCCCGGTGTCAAACTTGTCCTCCGTACGTATAGGTGCGTTGAAAAACTGCAATGTGATGCTAATTTGGAAAGCTTTGGGAGGCATGCCAGGAGGGCACGAGCACACCAGCTCCAAGGAAACGATGGAGACAACTCTGCAAGAGTATGTAGTTGAAAGCACGGTTTGCTCAACAAACATTTTGTTAAGAAACTCACATAAAATGTCTGTCCGAAAATGTTGTTCTGGCAAACTCACAATCCGATTGCAGCTGGTTGCCTTACAATTGTACATTTAATCAACATCTTTTTTTTTAAAGAAAGGTTAGAGGAGTTACTTTCAACTAGTCAATGGTAGTCTACGCAAATGAGTATAGAAGTTGATCAATGTCTAAATGTGTTGACATGATAGCTCAGCATAAACAAACATAAACGAGCTTGTTTCCGATGCTAAGCAGGATACATAGCGGGAGGCATCTGGATGATAGACTCGTTCTCACTGAAGTGCATTACCCCTCATATACCAGTAGGAGTCACTGTTCAGGCAGGAATCTTTGGACTGTGGCTTCACATTTTATTTCAATATACACTATATATACAAAAGTATGTGGACACCCCTTCAAATTAGTGGATTTGGCTATTTCAGCCACACCCGTAGCTGACAGGTGTATAAATCGAGCACACAGCCATGCAATCTCCATAGACAAACATTGACAGTAGAATGGCCTTACTGCAGAGCTCAGTGACTTTCAACGTGGCACTGTCATAGGATGCCACTTTTCCAACAAGCCAGTTTGTAAAATGTCTGCTAGAGCTGCCCCGGTCAACTGTAAGTGCTGTTATTGTGAAGTGGAAACATCCAGGAACAAGAACGGCTTAGCCACGAAATGGTAGGCCACACAAGCTCACAGAATGGGACTACCAAGTGCTGAAGCGCATAGCGCGTAAAAATTGTCTGTCCCTGGTTGAAACACTCACTACCGAGTTCCAACTGCTTCTGGAAGCAACGTCAACACAAGAACTGTTCGTCGGGAGCTTCATGAAATCTGTTTTCATGGCCGAGCAGCCACACACAAGCCTAAGATCACCATGCGCAATGCCAAGCGTATGCTGGAGTGGTGTAAAGCTCACCGCCATTGGACTCTGGAGCAGTGGAAACTCGTTCTCTGGAGTGATGAATCACGCTTTACCATCTGGCAGTCCGACAGACGAATCTGGGTTTGGCGGATGCCAGGAGAACGCTACCTGCCCCAATGCATAGTGCCAACTGTAAAGTTTGTTGGAGGAGGAATAATGGTCTGGGGCTGTTTTTCATGGTTCGGGATAGGCCCCTTAGTTCCAGTGAAGGGAAATCTTAACGCTACAGCATACAATGACATTCTAGACGATTCTGTGTTTCCAACTTTGTGGCAACAGTTTGGGGAAGGCCCTTTCCTGTTTCAGCATGACAATGCCCCTATGCACAAAGCGAGGTCCATACAGAAATGGTTTGTCAAGATCAGTGTGGAAGAACTTGACTGGCCTGCACAGAGCGTTGACCCTCAACCCCATCGAATGCCTTTGGGATGAATTGGAACGCTGACTGCGAGCCAGGCCTAATCGCCCAACATCAGTGCGCGACCTCACTAATGCTCTTGTGGCTGAATGGAAGCAAGTCCCTGCAACAATGTTCCAACATCTAGTGGAAAGCATTCCCAGAAGAGTGGAGGCTGTTATAGCAGCAAATGGGGAACTAACTCCATATTAATGCACATGATTTTGGATTGAGATGTTTGACGAGGAGGTGTCCACATACTTTTGGTCATGTAGTGTACCTCTTTATTTAGGTTGATTGCATGACGTTGAAACGATGACATTGATTCAAACATACCATTTTACTATCAACATTGAAACAAGGTCAAATAAAATATGTCTAATCAAATATGAAATTCAACATCATTTCAACCACCCATATAGGATGAAAAAGATTTTTACAGTTTCTACGTGGAATTTTCAACATAATTTCAACATATACATAGTTCTTATGATTATGTTGAAATTAGATTGATGTATCAACCTGTTAGTCAGGTAAGTCATTGTATTTAAGTTGAAGTTTTACCCTAATTTCAATGTTTACAACGTTTGTTGAAATTAGATGAAAACCATACTAGTTTACTTTTTGCAAATCCAAATGTGTTTTCCACATAGATTCCACATCACAATAGGTTGACAAATGACGTTGAAACGTTGGTTCTACCAGTGTGTGCCCGGTGAGTTGCTTGTCTGTCTTTCTAGCCCTCTACACAGGGGTGGCCAACACTTGGTTCTACTAATCAGCCTTGTCAAGGTCCTGACTCGCTTCCTACCCCTTCCCCTAATTAACCTAAGGACCATCAGGACCTTGACATGTTGAATCAGGTTATAGCAAGGCTGGAACAAAAGCCTGAATACCTAGCTCTACAGCTCTGTACAGCCACCCTTCCTCTACCATCATTACTTCCCTCTCAGCTCTACCCTCTATCTCTCAACCTATAAATCCTCCACCACTGCTCCTGTATCCTGCTCTATCACTGACAATACTATACAGAGGATGTCAAGGAGAGCATTATATAGAAAGAAGGGAAGTATAAGTATTTTCTATATACTGTTCCATTGTTTACAAGGGGATCATTTATAATACTGTAACAAGGGGATCTTTTTATACTCAACATGGACAAACATTAACTGTGTAAAGCTCAGTCTTTGTGCTGTTTTTAATATGATGAAGAGAAGTGTTGGTTCTTTATGTAATGTTTAAACAGTAGGCCTATATTGTATGTGTATGAAACCCTAATAAATAATAATCAAATAAAGTGTAGGTTAAAAACAAAGTATAACAAACGTTGTTGTGGTCTTTAGTATGTTAACTGTAGTTTGATACTGATCGGTTCTGGCTAGGCTATGCACAGAAAATGTATGTTATAACTACAATTGTCTTTTATCGCATCCCGGAGGACACTGAAAACATTGTGAAATGATTACCGGAGCATGGGATTCCGCCGGCGAGCTACTGAGTCATTGAAAGTTATAGTGCATAAATTGGGTTGGGCAACCCCATCTCTCTCTGTGTGTGTGTGTGTTTTATGATACGGGGCGGTATGAACATTGGGGTGTAGGACATGTGCGCCCCCCCTCTTGCTTGTGACAGATAATAGTAGCGGGTGTGAGAGAAGGATTTGAACTTGCAGCCGGGGCAGAGTGGAGGAGACACCTAGCTGATGTCCGAGCAGACTGCGCTCTGAGGAGAGAGAGAAAGAGAGCTCTATAAAGCTGTGACCAAAACATCTGTGCTGTAATCTACTCTTCTGGACCTGCGTCTGGTTCTGGGACTAGAGCCCGGGCTCTTTGGAAACTAGATCGAAAACTTACTTGGTGGATATCAGGACCCAAGGTATGATATTATAATTTTGTTTTTTAAATGTATTTTATAATATACTAAGGTTTGTCTTATTATGACTTTACAACAAACTGCGGTTTGTTGTACGAGTCGATTTGCAGTTTCACATCGATCTCTGCTCATTGACATGTTTTGACGCGTTGCTTGCTGTGATTTACCACCAGAGAGATGTCAGTCAGTCAGTGTTCTGGTGGTCAGGTTGAGTAATGTTCTCACACTATCCATGGCCTACAACAGCTCCATTAACAGACCTCACACCAGGGGTTATAGCGCGTTTTATGGCCAGGCCATTTACAGTCGACAGCTGATCACAGTTATCCTTATCAGCACAGCTGCTGAGGCTGAGCGCGAGGCGAGCGAGTTTATCAGTTCAACTTCGGCGACACCTCCGAGTGGTAAGCGTCACTGACAAATTTCGCGCGGGAACATCTGTAGTAAAATTGTCCTCAATCTTCAGCCAGGTGTGTGTGTCTTAATCCAGTCTCCACGGAGCTGCTGGACTGATGTTGTCCCTGCTTGTCAATGCGGTTGTCACAGTGTATAATTTCACTGATTGTTCCAATACTACACAATTAATCAAAGCAGTGCCCCACCATTTATTCTTTATAACACATTTCATGCAATTCTACTTATTTTGTAATAGGGCACATATTGCGTTTTAAAGCAAATTTCCAGCCATTATACCCATTTCCCATGGGGTGGAGATACATTTTTGCAGTTTTAAAGTTAATTACCTGCAATTCTACACATTCCCATGACTTATGCCATGTTAATTTTATTTGAGTGAGAGTGACTAACAAAATCAATGGGGGCCCCCTGGAGGTCAGGGCCCCTGGGCACCTGCCCTGCCTGGTCGGTATTCGGCAATGATTACTACATGTTTAGATAACTGCCTAGACTAACTTACCAAGCAAAAAATTGTTAGCTGACATGGCAAATTGATTGACTGTCAGTGACTGACAAAACAAGAAAAAAACTCCTAATGCACAACCAAATTTCGAACTTGCACCTTGTGTATTCTACTATTCTAACTCTCAACAGTAAGTTGAGATCATTCAAGGGTTTTTCTTTATTTTTACTATTTTCAAAATTGTAGAATAATAGTGAAACCATCAAAACTATGAAATAACACGTATGGAATCATGTAGTAACCAAGAAAATGTTAAACAAATGAAAATATATTTTATATTTGAGATTCTTCAAATAGCCACCCTTTGCCTTGATGACAGCTTTGCACACTCTTGGCATTCTCTCAACCAGCTTCATGAGGTAGTCACCTGGAATGCATTTCAATTAACAGGTGTGCCTTCTTAAAAGTTAATTTGTGGAATTTCTTTCCTTCTTAATGCGTTTGAGCCAATCAGTTGTGTTGTGACAAGCTAGGGGGGGGTATACAGAAGATAGCCATACTATGGCAAGAACAGCTCAAATAAGCAAAGAGAAACAACAGTCCATCATTATTTTAAGACATGAAGGTCAGTCAATATGGAAAATGTCAAGAACTTTGAAAGTTTCTTCAAGTGCAGTCGCAAAAACCATCAAGCACTATGATGAAACTGGCTCTCATGAGGACCGCCACAGGAAAGGAAGGCCCAGAGTTACCTCTGCTGCAGAGGATAAGTTCATTAGTGTTACCAGCCTCAGAAATTGCAGCCCAAATAAATGCTTCACAGAGTTCAAGTAACAGACACATCTCAACATCAACTGTTCAGAGGAGACTGTGTGAATCAGGCCATGGTTGAATTGCTGCAAAGAAACCACTACTAAAGGACACCAATAAGAAGAAGAGACTTGCTTAGGCCAAGAAACATGAGCAATGGACATTAGACCGGTGGAAATTTGTCCTTTGGTTTGGAGTCCAAATTCGAGATTTCTGGTTCCAACCGCCGTGTCTTTGTGAGACGCGGTGTGGGTGAACAGATGATCTCTGCATGTGTATTTCCCACCATAAAGCATGGAGGAGGAGGTGTTATCGTGTGGGGTGCTTTGCTGGTGACACTGTCTGTGATTTATTTAGAATTCAAGGCACACTTAACCAGCATGGCTACCACAGCATTGTGCAGCGATACGCCATCCCATCTGGTTTGGGCTTAGTGGGACTATCATTTGTTTTTCAACAGGACAATGACCCAACACACATCCAGGCTGTGTAAGGGCTATTTTACCAAGAAGGAGAGTGATGGAGTGCTGCATGCGATGACCTGGCCTCCACAATCTCCAGACCTCAACCAAATTGAGATGGTTTGGGATGAGTCGGACCGCCGAGTCAAGCAAAAGCAGCCAACAAGTGCTAAGCATATGTGGGAACTCCTTCAAGACTGTTGGAAAAGCATTCCAGGTGAAGCTGGTTGAGAGAATGCCAAGAGTGTGCAAAGCTGTCATCAAGGCAAAGGGTGGCTATTTGAAGAATCTCAAATGTAAAATATTTTTGATTTGTTTAACACTTTTTTGGTTGCTACATGATTCCATATGTGTTATTTCATACATTTGATGTCTTCACTATTATTCTACAATGTAGAAAATAGTACAAATAAAGAAAAACCCTTGAATGAGTAGGTGTTCTAAAACTTTTGACCGGTAGTGTATATATATATTTTGTTTTGGGTCGGGGGCCCCCTAGCGGCCAGGGGCCCGAAGCGAACACTTATGTCGCTTATGCCTGGAGCCTGCCCTGACTAGGGCTCCCTAGCTCTGAAAGCCTAAACAAAAATAATGCCACGTCTCCTCCCGTTGCTCCCCTCCGGCGCTCTGATTCGCCGGTCTACTGAGCCACCGGTCTGAGCGCACCACCTCGGCAACACCGGAATGGAAACCCAACGCACCCTAATCACCTCCAGCGCACCTGCACCTCATCAATCATCATCACCACCTCTATTTAGCCCTGGACTGTTCTGGATGATGTTGTGTGTGATTGTTAAGTTTTGTGTCATTTACTCTATCTTTGTTATTTCTCTTGCTCATTGTTAAGTAAACCTTGACCTTGTTCATTCCTGCGTCTGTGTCCTGCCTCTTCGTATACTCAGTACGCGTCACAGTATCACACACCAAACAAAAATGGAGTCAGCATGAGTGTCCCAGTGCCTCGACCAGCAGCAGCTTGCCCAGTTGAACGCCGCCATGCAGGAAGTGCTCCAAACTCTGCATAATCTGCCCAGCGCTCCGGTTCCACCTCAGGGAGCAGCGAGTGCCCCCAATCCACCTATTCCCGTGCTATCACCCGCTCCTGCGGGAACCCTCGCCTTACCGGAGCGCTATGATGGTAAAACTACTAAATGTAGTGGCTTCCTGCTACAGGTTTCCCTTTATCTGGCGCGTCAGCCTGGGGCATATCCATCTGACCAAGCCAGGATAGCGCTGGTGATTCCGCTTCTTAATGGAAAGGCGCTGTATTGGGCCACTGCTGTCTGGGAGGCAGAGGAGGCAGTGGCACTTCCCTACCCCACCTTCCTCGCTAAGTTCAGGGCGGTGTTCGATCATCCCACGGAGGGAAAGGACGGGGGTGAGCGTCTCCTACAACAGAGAGAGGTGGCCCGCATCCGAGTATGCTCTGAGCTTCCGGCTGAAATGAGCGTGCTCTGCGAACGGCCTTCAGGAGAGGCTTACGGGAGGACATCAAGACGGAACCCATGGAGGTGGGCAGCACCCCCTTCATCACCACGGACCACAGATCTCCTGGCGGCCCCCTATCTAGGCGGTATGACTCCCGTCGCCGCTTCTTGAGTGTTACGTCAGCTCCTATCACAAAACCATTGTTTTTAGTTCCCATAACGGTGACTGGTTATTCCTTCTCTTCCATTTCTACCGCAATGACCGGATCAGCAGGGAACCTGATAGATAGGGAGCTGGTCTCTGAATGGGGGTTGCCCACCGTGTCACTGCCATTTCCGCTACACGTCACCTCACTGGGCAATAAACCCCATGGATCAGGCACCATTACGTACGTCTCTCCCCATCACCATCACCATTCCCACACTACCGGAGCACCACGAGGAGCTGTCCTTCCACATCGTCACGTCACCCCTTCACCGGATCGTCTTGGGATTGCCCTGGCTCAGACTGCACAACCCCACCACCAATTAAAGCACCAAGAGGATCACAGCCTGGTCCACCTCATGCCGGAAGACCTGCCTGCCGGTGGTTTGTTGTTCCACGTCAGTGGAGAGTCCGGAGTCTGCCCTCCAGCCCAACATTCCACGTGAGTACGCAGATCTCTTAGATGTCTTCTCTTCATTAAAGGCTACGTGTCTCCCTCCTCACTGGCCCTGGGACTGCGCCATTGACCTGCTGGAGGGACACCCCCCCCCCCCCCCCCCACCCAAAGAGTCGCATTTACTCCCTTTCCATGGCGGAGACTGAGGCCATGGAGAAGTATGTGGCGGAGACCCTGAGACAGGGGTTCATCAGACGCTCTACCTCTCCTGCCTCCGCCAGCTTCTTCTTCGTGGCCAAAAAAGACGGAGGACTGAGACCATGCATTGACTACAGGAGGCTGAATGCAGTCACCACCAAGTACCTTTACCCCCTCCCTCTGGTTCCGTCGGCCATCGAGCAGCTACGAGGGGCCCGGTACTTTACCAAGTTGGACCTGAGGAGTGCCTACAACCTGATCCGAATGCTGGAAGGAGACGAGTGGAAGACAGCATTCAGCACTACCTCAGGCCACTATGAATACTGCGTCATGCCCTACGGCCTCGCCAACGCACCTTCTGTGTTCCAGTCCTTCTTCAATGACGTGTTCCGGGACATGCTGAGTAGACAGGTGGTGGTGTATATCGACGATATCCTGATCTACTCGGGTACGTTCGAGGAGCATGTCAGGGATGTCCGAGGTATCCTGCTCCACCTCCGGGAACACAGCCTGTTGGTGAAGGGGTAGAAATGCGAATTCCACCAACAGGCCATCTCCTTCCTGGGATACAGGATCAGTCCTCAGGGGGTGTTCATGGAAAGAGCGAAGACGGACGCCGTCAGGTCATGACCAGTTCCCACCACCATCAAGGGCCTACAGAGCTTCCTGGGCTTCGCTAATTTCTACCGGCGTTTTATCAGGTCCTTCAGCTCCATAGCCGCCCCGCTCACCTCTCTCCTTAAGGGTGGGCCTCAGAAGCTGGCCTGGAACCCTGAGGATGACGCTGCCTTCAAGAGGCTGAAGGAGAGGTTCACCACAGCGCCCATCCTAAAACACCCACATCCATATGTCACGTCTCCTCCCGTTGCTCCCCTCCGGCGCTCTGATTCGCCTTGTGTACTGAGCCACCGGTGTGAGCGCACCACCTCGGCAACACCGGAATGGAAAACCAACGCACCCTAATCACCTCCAGCGCACCTGCACCTCATCATATCATCACCACCCCTATTTAGCCCTGGACTGTTCTGGATGATGTTGTGTGTGATTGTTAAGCTTTGTGTCGTTTACTCTATCTTTGTTATTTCTCTTGCTCATTGTTAAGTAAACCTTGACCTTGTTCATTCCTGCGCCTGCATCCTGCCTCTTTGTACACTCAGTACGCGTCACAGTCTACTGTTGTGGAAGAATTAGGGTGAGCTGTTGTAACTTCTCAAGGGTTATGCTCTGTTCTGATCTGTGATGTTAGGCCTTTCATAGACTCCTGGTATGTCGGCACCCTAATACAAGGTCATTGTGTTCTGGAACTGTTGCTTGTATAAATAACTGTTGTGTAACAATATGATTGTATTATTACCTCCCATTATATAAGGGTCATGTGACCATTTACTCTTGGAGCTCCTTCCCTGACTGTGATCAGAGGGGGATCTACCTTGCAGCTGCTTCATTAAAAGATTCACTATTATACAATTACATTATTCTCTACCTTTTAATCTTTGGGTCGAGTTTTCCACAACACCACATAGGCCTACAGTATTTCACTTCCTCAGACTTGGTAAATACTTGTAAAAATGGATTGCATAGCTTTCCCAATAGGGTCATACAAGGTGAGGCCCCTGGAGTCATACTAGGGGTTTATGCGTGTGTGTGTGTGTACAGATAGAGCTTTCTCTATTCTCTGGGAATGTCTCTCCACTTCCATGAGGCTGAATTTGGCCCTGTGACCACAGAGTCGCTGGTTCAGGCCCCACTCTGGCTTCTCCCCCTTAATCGCTACAGTTTATGCTCAAATAATATATACACTTTATACCGGTATATAATTCATGATCATTTGGATGTAATGAACTCTGTGTGTGTTTGTTCCACAGGTTCTGTCGAGATGTTACATCTCAGGCACCTGCTCTGGCTTGTGCTTCTTTGTTGTGCTTTCGCTGAACAAGGTGAGTCTTGCTGTGTGTGTGTGTGTGTGTGTGTGTGTATGTGTGTGTGTGTGTGTGTGTTTCACTCTGGATAAGAGTCTAACAAACTGGAAACAGGTCATTAGTTTTACACAGGAAACGGAGAGAGGCATTCACTCAGCTCCATTCATTTTTCTCAATCCTCTAGAAAAGGGTTTCCCAAACTCGGTCCTGCACGTTTTGGTTTTTGCCCCAGCACTACACAGCTGATTCAAATAATCAACTTATCATCAAGCTTTAATTACTTGAATCAGATATGTAGTGCTAGGGCAAAAAACAAAAAACATGCACCCCTGGGAGGCTCCAGGACTGAGTTTGAGAAAGCCCTGCTCTAGACATGCGCGCACACACACACACACTTCCAGTTACCTACATCAGGGGTCAAGTTAATCACACCGTAAGCCATCCGGACCACATACAGCCCTCCACTAAACCCATCCACAAATTAAACCCATGCTCTGTGTATCTGTTTGTTCTGTCATTTGGTGTCCTGAATTAAACCCATCCCCCCTCTGGTGCCTTCTGTCCTGATTTAACTTCCCATGCTCACTCTGTAGTTTAAACTATTCACCCCTCACCTTGACCCTCACTCAACCTTACCCCTAGCCCTGACCCCAAAGCTCATGTACTTGCTTTTGATAATATAGGCACTTTTGTCCTTACTAGCATGGCTAGATAGTAACACCCTCTATTTCTCTCTAGATCCATCATGGAGAATGAAGGTAGAGAAGGCTGCCCCCACTAGTGGCTCTCTGGCGGGCAGGGTGGTGCTACCATGCCACTTCTCCATCACCCCCACCTCCTCAAACACCCCCACCACACACACCCCAACACCCAGCCACATCCCCACACTCACCCGTAGCACACAGGGCCCAGAGGACCAGCTGAGGATTAAGTGGACAAAACTGGAGGGAGATGGGGAGCGTGTGGTGCTGGTGTCCCAGGGAGGAGGGATCAAGGTGGAGCAGGGGTACAAGGGCAGGGTGTCGGTGCCCAACCACCCCCAGGAAGAAGGTGACGCCTCGCTGATCGTTGTGCACCTGAGGGCTAGCGACGCTGGGCTGTACCGCTGCGAGGTCATGCATGGCATGGAGGACACCCAGGATACTGTTCATCTCAATGTCAGCGGTGAGTGGACACACGCATGGTAGCAGACACACAGTAACACAGAAACGCACACATTTCGCCCATTGGAAGGTGCCCATCGGTCCATGCCCTATTGTCATCAGTTACAGGAGTTGTTGGGTAATATAAATATTGTGAAACTCTCTAATGCTACCTGTTTCGTGTCATTCCCACTCAGACATGCTATTCCATAGGGAGCCTTTAGTTCAGGATTCCCCAACTGTCGGCCCGCAGGCCAAATGCTTTTATTTGGCCGCCCAAGTTTTCTGTGCAAATTCATTGTTGGACATGAAAGACTTTAATATGATCCGTTTGGGCTTCTACAAATGATTTGCAATTATGGTCCGGCCCCCCGACCATCCGCACAATAAAAGATCGGCCCTTGGCCATTGATGATCCCTGCTTTAGTTACTATCTGTAGAGGTGCCATGATGTGGTCATGTATCTATGTTATTATGATGTAATAGTGCAGTTAGCTTTCCTGGACAGCAGAGCTGAGCAGCAGGCCAAGTCATCATCACTAGACTGAGGCACTAACTGGCAGACGGTGGTGTTGTAGGTTTCCAGGAGCTGGACTGTTATGTACATCTTGAGACTGACGTTAGTGACTCACCTGCATATATCATTACCTTTCAGGGCATTACCTGCTCAGATGGCAGGAGATTCAGTCTGGGACTGAGACTGGGATGTGTGAGGCAGAGTAGATGTCTGGCTGGAACTTTTACCAGGTCTGCATACGTAGCTAGCTGATGGAGAAACATTCAGTATAACTATCTGGCGGTGCTGTGTTTCTCTGGTTGTAACACACTACCTCATGCTGGACCTGTGCAGACCTACAGGGCTGGTGTAGGTCATCTGAGGATAAGGTAGAGGTGGACTGCTCTTTGCTCTGCTCTGCCCAGAGACACTCAGAGAGACTTAGACACATTAAAGTACTCCTGAGAGATGAACTTAGAAATGTAGCCCTCATCTGACCAAGTCATCAGTAGATTCTACAGGGTAATGTATAGAATACACATGGTATACACCGTCCAAAGAACCTGCAAGTAAGCATTTCGTTGGACGGTGTATACCATGTGTATCCTGTACACACGACTAATAAAACTTAAAACAGTAGCTAGTTAAATCACCATATGTCACAGCATGACAGTCTAGTCACCAATAGCTGTGTCGGAGTAAACAAAACCATGGATTGTGTCCAGGTCTCGCTCTCTCTTTGAGTCTCTCTGGCGTGCATGCCGAGGAAGACCTGGCTCTATATCTGTAGTATATAGTTAACTAAGCATACATTCCTGAGTTCCAAATTTGTCCTACCAAACTTTTACAATACATTGCCTTATGTAGCTCATGTTGGGGGGTGGGGGGTTACAGTATACTACTGTGTGACATCCAAGCTGGGTATCTTTCATAAGGAGAAACCCCCTAAATAGCCCAGATTATCACAGAGTCCACATTAGAGATGAACAACGGTCTGTTGATACAATAGTCTCTGTGTGTAGATACAACCACTGTTCACTAGGCTACAAATAGAAACAGACAGCGACAGCTCTATCAGACTATCAACTCTTTTAACGTTTTACTGCATGCCAGTCTATTCAGTGAACTCTACAACTGGAAACAGCCAGTTTCCTAGAGGGAAAAACAATTAACTCTCTTATGAACTTGGAAAATAGGGGTCTGATTGCCCAAGACAAACATTCTCAGATAGTTTCAGGATGTCAGCGAGCTAAAGTATCGTAGCGCAGTCTTCTTATCTGTCCTCTCTGCAGTACGATGCTCGTGTTACTAGGTTGTCTCAGTTTTCTTATTGGATCTGGATTACAGTTTTTTCTAAATCGATTGTAAAAGTGGGCTCGCTGGTTGTGTTCTTTCTGTAACCCTCTCAGTACTAAACACAGGCACTCACCACACAAACACACACACACTGACCTCCTGTCTCTGTCTCTCTCCAGGTGTGGTGTTCCACTACAGGTCTGGTTCCAGCCGCTACACCTTTTCCTTTCCTGGGGCCATTGAAGCGTGTCGCGCTAACGGGGCAACCATCGCTACGGCTGAACAGCTGACTGCCGCCTTCGAGGACGGACTGGACCAGTGTGACGCCGGCTGGATAGCCGACCAGACCGTCAGGTGTGTGTTTGTTTGTGTGTGTGTGCGTGTTACCTAAGCATCACAGCTCTCAACTGATGTGGCTGGTGATGACCAGGGCTGAAACAAAATATGTTTAATACCCATCTCAAGGATACCACTGTCCCTATCAGAGTTTGTAAGGAAGACTACATTTCCCATGCTCCCTCTCTCGTCCCTGTAGATACCCAATCACGAAGCCCCGTCCTGGTTGCATGGGCGATTTGAATCACAGGCCTGGGATCAGGACGTATGGGCTCAGAGACCCTAAAGAGACCTACGACGTCTACTGCTATGTAGACAAACTGCACGGTGAGTGAGTGTGTGTGTGTGCGCATGAGTGAGTTTGAGTATTTGTGTTTCCTGATGGTGAGTTAAAGCGTGTGACTATTTGGGTAAAGTGTGTGTATATCTCCCCCTGTAGGTGAGGTGTTCTATGCTCCTATCCGTTACAAGCTGACCCTTCGCCAGGCTAAGCGTGTGTGTGAGAGGCAGGGGGCAGTGCTCGCCTCCCCTGGTAACCTGTTCGCCGCGTGGCATGGAGGCCTGAATCGCTGTGACTACGGCTGGCTGTCAGACGGGAGCGCCCGCTACCCCATATCCGTCCCCAGGCCCCAGTGTGGAGGAGGACTGCTGGGGGTCCGGACTCTGTACCAATTCCCCGACCAGACTGGCTTCCCCAACCCTATTAACAGACATGGAGCTTTCTGTTTCAAGGGTAAGACTACTGTAATACTATTACCACCACTGTTACTAAAGCTGCTGTCGCTGCTACTATGAAGGCGATGACAATGATCACAATGATGATGATGGGGAGGAAGAGGAAGAGGAGGGGGAGGTGGAGCCAGACATTGAGAAATGGGAGAGAAAAGTAGTGAGAAGGGGGGAGAGAGTAGACATGTTCTTAAGGAGGGAGGGGGTCGAAGGGTAGAGAGGAGCTGTTCCTTTATTGTACTAACAGACATTCAGACTTGGCAGGCCGGAGTATCATCAGGGATATTTCTGCACTTTCTCTCAGGCTCAATAAGTTAAGCCCCGTCCTGTGTGAGGATGAACTCTCACCCTGTTTTCACTTCCTGCTGAGGGTTGTCTAAACGGCCAAGCCTGGGGGGACAGATCACATCTAGGAGACAGAGAAAGGGTTGGAGGGTAGAGGAGGGGGGGGCAGAGAGAGGGAGAGGGGAGGATGAAGAGGATGGTTTACGTGAAACTGTTATTTTACAGTAAAAGGATGAATGCTAACTTGAGCAACATACATAAACTCACAATTATACGTTCATCTTCCGTTGACATGATTTATGTAATAGTTCAAGTTACGGGGTGTTAGGATCTGGCCCACACAGTGTTTAAAGCTTTTAAAATGACTTTTATTGTGATACTATGTTGGACACGTCTGTTTGCACAGTGAGCATTTACTTTATATCACATCTGGAAAGACAATGGCCCACTCGCTTCCACGTCTTGCATTACTGTATCACCCCATAATCCCTGCCTTATGCCTAACTGCAATCTCTAACCCATACATCAACTTCCTTTCCCTGCATTACTGCATTCCCCTAACTCCTTCACCTCTCCTTTACTGCTGTCTTTGAGTCTCCTACCTCCTCATCCTCTACCTGCCTTACTGCAGTCTTGAAGAGTGCAACATCCCTTACTTCTCTCTACCTTACTGCAGTCTGCAACCTCTCCTTCCTCTCTCTACCTTACTGCAGTCTGCAACCTCTCCTTCCTCTCTCTACCTTACTGCAGTCTGCAACCTTCTTCCTCTCTCTACCTTACTGCAGTCTGCAACCCCCCCCTTACTGCAGTCTGCAACCTCTCCTTCCTCTCTCTACCTTACTGCAGTCTGCAACCTCTCCTTCCTCTCTCTACCTTACTGCAGTCTCCAACCTCTCCTTCCTCTCTCTACCTTACTGCAGTCTCCAACCTCTCCTTCCTCCTCTCTACCTTACTGCAGTCTCCAACCTCTCCTTCCTCTCTCTACCTTACTGCAGTCTGCAACCTCTCCTTCCTCTCTCTACCTTACTGCAGTCTGCAACCTCTCCCTTCCTCTCTCTACCTTACTGCAGTCTCCAACCTCTTCTCCTATTACCATCTCCTCTTCTACCTACTGCAGTCTCCAACCTCTCCTAACCTCCACTTCTCTCTCTACCTTACTGCAGTCTCCAACCTCTCCACTCTCCCTTCTCTCTACCTTACTGCAGTCTGCAACCTCTCCTTCCCTCTCTACCTACTGATCACTCTCCACCTCTACCTTCACTCTCTACACCTGCAGTCTCAACCTCCTCCTTCCTCTCTCTACCTTACTGCAGTCTCCAACCTCTCCACCCTCCCATCCTCTTTACCTTACTGCAGTCTCCAACCTCTCCAACCTCCCATTCCTCTTTACCTTACTGCAGTCTCCAACCTCTCCAACCTCTTCATCCTCTCTCTGCCTTCCAGTTTCCAACTTCTACTGACATAACCCAATGTCTCCCACATGGTTGGTTAAGGCCTATTCTTTCAGGGTCAGGGCTTAAGACTGCATCCTGACTCGAAACATGGCTCTGATTTGGTGGGTCATTAGAAAACTATATCTCTAGGGGGGTCACAGCAGAGACCCAGTTAGGAAACCAAAGCAGTTTATAGTGTGGTGTTGCAAGGGGAATGAGAATGAGTTCTGCAGAGAAACAGCACTCTGTTCAACTCTACCATGCTGAAGAATATCCTCCTGCTCCCTCCTCTCTCTCCTGTCTCTCCCGTTTATGGGCCTGTGTGTGTTTTTTACTAGGGGAAAACCCAACTCACGCTCTCTACACAGCAAGAAACACAGACAGAAACAGGACAGGTCCCTAATGCACTACAGCTGGCCCCTTCCCAGAAAGAGAGTGGAACAAGAGAGAAAGAGGACGGAGAGTAAGAGAGAGTCTGAGAAAGAGAGAGGGAAAGTCTTAGCAGAATAGATTTACACATTTGCGACCCTCTTTTTGCAGACACTAAATAATCTGTTGCAATCTAGTGGTTTCTAAAATACCATTTGATAAAATCCATAACATAATGCACATGAAACGGTAACGTCTACGACCATGTGTAGCTGATTTATACAGCTCCGAACGTATATGTGAGCCGCGTCTTGCATTTAGCCTATAGAGCATGCAGGCTAATGCATAGTGGAGGTGACATGGCTAAAGGGACTTGGCCTGGCCCAGCCAAACACATGACATCAAACCTGGGCTGGAGATGGAGCTAGTTTGGCTGGGCTGTCCAGGTCCCCTCTGAGTTTGAGTGAGCAGGCTAACTCCCCTGAGTGTCTTTGCTCAGAGTCCTGCCAGGTATACACGCCTCCAACACACAGAGAGAGAGGGAGGGATGGAGGGGGATGGAGAGAGAGGGAGAGAAAGAGGTGAAGAGTGGGAGTGAGAGAGAGAGAGCGAGAGGCAGAGAGAGAGAGAGAGGGAAAGAGAAGCCGGCCCAAAGAAAGGGATGGATGAAACGAGAGAGAGGGAGGAGGAGGGGGAGGAGAGGAGGAGGAGGGGGGGATCCCAGCTCCTTCTATATATGCATCCAACATTTTGAGAGGGGGAGGGGGGCTGAAATTGAATATATACAGTGCATTCGGAAAGTAGTCAGACCCCTTGACCACATTTTGTTACATTACAGCCTTATTCTAAAATGTATTAAATAGTTTTTTCCTCATCAATCTACACACAATACCCCATAATGACAAAGCAAAAACTGTTTTTTAGTAATTCTTGCAAATGTATAAAAAAAAAACAACTGAAATATTACATTTACATAAGTATTCAGACCCTTTACTCAGTACTTTGTTGAAGCACCTTTGGCAGCGATTACAGCCTCGAGTCTTCTTGGGTATGACGCTACAAGCTTGGCACACCTGTATTTGGGAAAGTTTCTCCCATTCTTCTCTGCAGATCATCTCCCGTGTAGCTCAGTTGGTAGAGCATGGCGTTTGCAACGCCAGGGTTGTGAGTTTCCCACGGGGGACCAGTATGAAAAAAAATTTAATAATAATAATTTATGCACTCACTTAACTGTAAGTCGCTCTGGATAAGAGTGTCTGCTAAATGACTAAAATGTAAATGTAAATCTCAAGCTCTGACAGGTTGGATGGGAGCGTCGCTCACGGCTGTTTTCAGGTCTCTCCAGAGATGTTCGATCGGGTTCAAGTCCGGGCTCTGGCTGGGCCACTCACGGACATTCAGAGACTTGTCCCGAAGCCACTCCTGTGTTGTCTTGGCTGTGTGCTTAGGGTCGTTGTCCTGTTGGAAGGTGAAGCTTCGCCCCAGTCTGAGGTCCTGAGCACTCTGGAGCAGGTTTTCATCAAGGATCTTCCTATACTTTGCTCCCAGTCCCTGCCACTGAAAAACATCCCCACAGCATGATGCTGCCACCACAATGCTTCACCGTACGGATGACGGCAGGTTTCCTCCTGACGGGACGCTTGGTATTCAGGCCAACGAGTTCAATCTTGGTTTCATCAGACCAGAGAATCGTGTTTCTCATGGTCTGTCCTTTAGGTGCATTTTGGCAAACTTCAAGCGGGCTGTCATGTGCCTACTGAGGAGTGGCTTCTGTCTGGCCACTCTACCATAAAAGCCTGATTGGTGGAGTGCTGCAGAGATGGTTGTCCTTCTGGAAGGTTCTCCCATCTCCACAGAGGCTCTCTGGAGCTCTGTCAGAGTGATCATCAGGTTCTTGGTCATCTCCCTGACCAAGGCCCTTCTCCCCTGATTGCCGAGCGGCCGGGCGGCAAGCTCTAGGAAGAGTCTTGGTGGTTCTAAACTTCTTCCATTTAAGAATGATGGAGGCCACTGTGTTCTTGGGGACCCTCAACGCTGTAGACATTTTTTTTGTACCCTTCCCCAGATCTGTGCCTCGACCACAATCTTGTCTCGGAGCTCTACGGACAATTCCTTTGACCTCATGGCTTGGTTTTTGCTCTGGCATGCACTGTCAACTGTGGGACCTTATATAGACAGGTGTGTGCTTTTCCAAATCATGTCCAATCAATTGAATTTACCACAGGTGGACTCCAATCAAGTTGTAGAAACATCTCAAGGATGATCAATGGAAACAATTTCGAGTCTCATAGCAAAGGGTCTGAATACTTATGTAAATAAGGTATTTCTGTTTGTTATTTGTTTATACATTTCCTAAAATGTATAAAAGATTGATGAGGAAAACGTTTATTTAATCAATTCTAGAATAAGGCTGTAACGTAACAAAATGTGGGAAAAGTCAAGGGGTCTGAATACTTTCCGAATGCACTGTACATTAAACATAATTATGACATTACAGTGTGTCAGGAAGGTTAACGTGCATGCGTCAGCTGTCCATGAGACAAGCAGCGAGCACGTTACACAGGAGTATGGTGGTTGTGTGCGTGTGTGTATGTGCGATACAGAGAGTAATGTTATGGGTTTGCGTGTATGTAGGCCTTCCCTTCCCTTTTCCTCTTATAGTAAAGATTTACTAGAGTTTTACTAATGTTGTTTGATGCCAAACTCATGTTTCTCTGTGGTTTACACAGACTATTATATTATTATAATTATTATATGGGCAGAAGACAATGTAATGAGTTTGGGTTAGGATTATAGGCTATTGTATACAGGAGGAAAAGAGAGGGCTAACATGTTGCCTAAAGATGTGCTCCAGTGTTGAAACATAGCAGGTTATGTGTAGCCAAAAGAAACGCTTCAGCACATCTAGGTGTGTGTTTGCGTGTGTGTGTCTGCCTGCATGTGTGTATGTATGCATACACGCTTATGCCAAAGAATCTCCCAGGGGAAAGGGAGGTTGGAGGGTTGCAGTTGGCCTAAAACAGCCATTTTTAACACAGTTCACACACCATGCAGTCTAAAAATACAGACATCCTGGCAGAGAGAGAGACATTCTGACAAACTGACACCACTGGCACTGACACTTCCACGGGTTTATTCTTAACGGCTGACGTCTCTCTTTAGAAATGTAACTCTCTGGGTTTGATGTCCTTTTACAGCTTGCTGCTGTGAGCTGATACCATTCTGATTCTGACAACACCATGTTTAGCATTCTCCATTAGCATTCTGTTTCTTCTTTGTCTTTTATTTACTATGGCACAGCATGTTCCTTAGTCTTTCTCTTTACCTTTGAGTACATGACTGTACCTTGCCTGTTATCTCAGGTGATATAATCTGAGAGACTACTTTATATCAGCAATGTTACACGTTTTGTGATGTCACCAGAGCTAAACCCCTCCTCTCTGTCTCTGCAGGTAAGGAACCAGAGATCACCACTCCTGGACCTGTGACGACCACAGCTACAGACAGACCTCACACTACCTACCACACAGGCAGACCAAACCTTCCAGGCACAACTCCCACAGACAGAACTGACCACACAGCAACAGACAGAACTCACACAGCTGTAGACAATCCTCACCACACAGACCGACCACACCAAACAACTGCAGACCAAGACAGAAGTCAGCATACAGGTGGACCACACGACACAGCTTATACAGGCACAGACAGACGTTACACTGCTACTGACAGAACACACACCACCAAAGACAAGTATCACTCCACTGACCACAAGACAACAGACAAAGACAGAACTACCCAGATAGGAGACAGAACAACAGACAGAACGACAGACCAAAATACAGACTTCTCTGTTGGTACCACTCAGTTCCCTGAGTATGATGGGGATGCCTTTATCCTAGACCTAACCAAGGTAGAGTCACTGCCCTCCGTGGGTGATAGCCTGTTACCTCTGCAGCTGCCCCCTCTCCCCACCATCCGCTCCAAGCCCACCCACCCCCACCTAGACATCATCCAGGGGGGAGACCTGGAGGGAGACAAGGAAGAGGGGGAGGTTCAGACAGGCTCAGGCAGGGGGGAGAGCAGTGGGAGTGGGGAGGGGAGCAGTAGTGATGGGGAAAGTGAGGGGAAGGACCAGGGAGTAGTGACTCCCACACATGGCTTCATGGTAGGCACAGGACTGGGTTCGGACCCCTCACGCCCAGGACAACCAGGGTACCCAGGGCGTCCAAGGGGGTATCCAGGGTCGGTCACCCCAGAGCATGGCCACCCAGGTGGGGACAGAGTGACAGAACAGCAGCCTGCTGTGGTCTACAAGGAGGAGGAGGGCAAGAGCTATAGAACAACAACCCACAGCCAACCAGGAGCCACGGAATCATACGGCATGGACCAATCGGTGGCCATCCATAAGAAGGCCTCGCCCACCAAACCACCATTCCACCTCATCATCGTCAATGTGCACGACAGGAACCAATCAGGTGAGAGTTTACTGTTGACTCTGATGACAAGGTGATGTTCAGTTTAATGCACAACCAAACAAACTCTTATCTCAACACTGCTAACTCTGTGTATGTGGACGTAACACCTCTGTTTCGAGGTATTTTCTCATAATTGTAGTGCCAAACTATGCACTGTCTCAGCCACCTTGTGAAAGGACTGTAATAAGTCCTGTTTTATAAACTGGATGGTTCGAGCCCTGAATGCTGATTGGCTGACAGCCATGGTATATCAGACCCTATACCATGGGTGTGACAAAACATTTATTTTTACTGCTCTAATTACGTTGGTATCCAGTTTCTAATAGCAATAAGGCACCTCGGGGGTTTGTGATATATTGCCAATATACCACACCTCCTCGGGCCTTATTGCTTAAGTATACTCTAACATTATGAGTCTCTGTGAGTGACTGCGTGTGCTGAATGACTCTGTACTCTCTGTGCTTCAGAGTGAGCAGCTTGTGTTGATGCTCTGTTGGATCTAGACAGATGTCCAGTGTAGGCAGACAGAATGGTCAGTCAGAGAGAGATAGGAGCATGGAAAGAGAGTATACAGTACACATTGTTAAAGTCTGTGTGGCATGGACAGGAAGGATACAGTGACCACTCTTAAACCAGGCAACTGCTGGACAACTGTGTCCTAAACTGATGTGATGCATCTCCATAATATATTAATATCTCCATTAAAACAGATTCCCAGCTGTCATGTCAGTAAGCATTCGCTACTGTAGGAGTTCAGGATCTGTGGGAACATTTTAGATTTAGGGATTACCTTATTTAGCTGTGTGTGTGTGCGTGCTTCCAGTGATGCATTATTGAAATGTGTGTGTGTAGTTGTGTTTGTGTGTGTGTTAGGGCAGGCATATGGGCTGGCCTTAGGGGATCTGGTCTGCCCTACTGTACCTCCTTACCCTTATTTGACCAAGACACGGCCAACAGAAAAATGCATCAATCTCAGTTAAAGCATCCGAGCGAGCGAAACAGCACCCCTCTGTCTCAGTATGTGTAGCCCATGTATCTGATCATGTCTGGACCAAAAGAGGATGGATTGTCATACTATTTCTGGCAAGACAGCATCAGATACATGGGCTACATATAGAGGGGCGTTGTTTCGCTCGCTCAGATCCTTTCTCCTGTGATATGCTTAGTTTCAGCAGAGAGGAAGAGGTGAAGCAAGAGAGCTCAATCTCGCCAGATTCCATCCAGTATAAGCCCAATGCGTTTCTATGGAAATAATATGCAGACCTAAGCTTGTCCCCTGCCTTCCCGCCTTTGGGACAAAGACTCCCATTGTTAGGGCGGAGAAAGAGCTGCAAAAAACACTCACACTGGACAGTTTTTATCTCCATCTCTTCATTCAAAGACTCAATCATGGACACTCTTACTGACAGTTGTGGCTGCTTCCTGTGATGTATTGTTGTCTCTACCTTCTTGCCCTTTGTGCTGTTGTCTGTGCCCAATAATGTTTGTACCATGTTTTGTGTTGCTACCATGTTCTGTCATGTTGTGTTGCTACCATGCTGTGTTGTCATGTGTTGCTGCCATGCTATGTTGTTGTCTTAGGCCTCTCTTTATGTAGTGTTGTGGTGTCTCTCTTGTCTTGATGTGTGTTTTGTCCTATATTTTTATTTTGAATCCCAGCCCCCGTCCCCGCAGGAGGCCTTTTGCCTTTTGGTAGGCCATCATTGTAAATACGAATTTGTTCTTAACTGACTTGCCTTGTTAAATAAAGGTAAAAAATAAATAAACATGAGCATCTCGTCATTATATACAGATCTCTGGTTTCAGCCTCTTGCGAATTGGAAAGGAAAGTTGGCGGGTACACATTGCAATGTTAGGATGCTGGATTGCCCTAAAGTAAATTGATGTTTAACCAAAATTATATAATTACTCCTGTGTAAATGAAATCATTCAAAATACTTCAACAGGGAGCATTACTTAGCCACAGAGCATCATTCGTTTATTCATTTTTTAAATAGCTGTGGATTGTTTCAAATTACCAGTGTGTGTGGGTACTGGCCCCCGGTGGGAATCGAACCCACAATCCTGGCGTTGCAAGCGCCATGCTCTACCAACTGAGCTACACGGGGACTAAGTTTGTAAACGTAACTTAGTTGTAAAATACAATTTTAGTTTATAGAAGCTAGATAAACTTTCAACAACATGTAGGTTATACTGAAGACGTACAACGTCAGGCCGGACCAAGTGATGATTTGATACAATGTTGCACGTCACTAGGAATAGCTCAAGTCAAGACAGATAGAAAGGGAGGCAGACAGGCGCAGTAGATAGATTCATGTGATTTAAAGAACCAGAATTTTCATCAGGATATTTTCTACTGCTTTTATTTGTCTGCTTTAGGCCTATGTATTTTACTTAGTTGACGATGGAAGTTATAGGCCTACTGCTGCATCTCTGAGTTCTATGTTCGCATTTCTTTAAGCCGCCAATGGATCACAATGTATCAACGGTCCATATGATAGTGCTCTCGGCAAAGTTGAATTTTAACTTTTAGATGTTCATCATTTTACTTCAGCTTTTTATGATTAACCATGTGACAATGATTTTGAGAAATGAAAACATTATTATTGAAATGAAACTGCTCCAAGAAAATGCCCATATCAAAAATAATCAGAACTGGCACGCAGATCGTGTCACGATCTTCATTCATAGAGGAGGACCAAGGCGCAGCGTTGAATGCAAACATTTTATTCATTAGAATGATCACACGATCAAAACGAAACGTGACGTCCCTGGTTACATAAACAAACCAACTAAGAACAAGAAACCACAAATAATGAATGCCTAACGGCTACCTAAGTATGACTCCCAATCAGAGACAACGAGCTACAGCCGTCTCTGATTGGGAGCCACCCTGGCCAACATAGATATACAACAACTAGAACATAAACAAATGAAAACTCACACCCTGGCTCAACATACTAGAGTCCCCGGAGCCAGGGCGTGACAGATCGGTAGAAATGGTAGGATAAATTGTAAGCTTCCCCAAACTTGAAACTCACGAGCTGCCTATGGTCTTTACTATTACAGCCATTAAAAAAACATAGGAGGTCCCGTGAAAAAATGTGCCCCCCTATGGAAATCAAAGGCCCGTCCAACTGATTATTTCTGCCTCCGGGTCAAGTGTGTGTGTTTGTGCATGTGTGTGTCTGCTTGCGTGCTTCCAGTGATGCCTTAAGGAAATCTCTGGCTTGACGAGGATCAGTTCTGGATGCTTTCTAGCTGTTTGTTTTCTTGTTTTAATAGAGAAGTTGTATCGTTATCATCTCTGTCCATTTACAACCAGTTTACATGCAAACACATCTGCAGATTCTGCACAAACAAATGTTTGAAACACATTAACTCATTTTTCAGTTTTTAGCTTGGCAGTTGCATTTCAGAGAGAGAGAGAAGCACACACAACCCTGAGGTCAAATGGCAGAGCCTCTTTTAGATCAATCAGCATTGTAATCACGCTCAACTAATTACCCCCTCTAATTACTCCCTCGGTCTCCTCCCTTTATCTGCCTAACTTTCCCATCTCTCCCTTAATTCCTTCCCAACATACACCCCACCCCATGCCTCTCCTCCTTTCTCCTTTAATGTGTGTGAGTCTACCTGCTCCCCTACCACCATCCACGCCATAACATTTATGAATGGCTATTGTTTATTATTAAAGGGAGATATTGTATATTGGATCCTGTATTAGGTAATATTTCACCCAGTAACTCAATAAGAATTCACTTCCTCAGTGGGTTATAGTCCCACTATTTCTACACAACTAAAGGGAATTGAGAAATTGAAATATTGAGGATTACAGATGGATCTTAATTTGATCACCCTTTTGTTGCTGAGAATTTTCCTGTCTTTTAAAGTATTCTAAAGTTTGTAATTTTGACTTTGACATTTCAGACTTAATTTGCCCTAACGAAAAATGTGTCAACCCCTACTAAAATGTCCATTCATTTTCATCCACATAATAATTAACATTTCCTATTGCCGCTGGATTATTTTCCTGCTGTGGCAAACTGGCTCAAATCAAGATCCTACATCTGTATGGTTAAATCTTCCTGTTTCGAATATAGTAGATGTATCTGATTCAGGGTCACAAAGGGACGGACACCTCTTTAGGTTGGGAGTGGGTTTTATTAACATGGTTAAGTCTGACGCGTGCATGAAAGCACACACACACACACACACTTATTCAACGGCAGATTAAAAGTATTTATTTCTACCATCCGCACGGTTTTATTTGTCCCCAGAGACATAACTAACCTCAGATTTAGTGCTGCCCCGTCCAAATGTGCTTCCCCTTGCACTCGTTCCCACGATATAGGTTCCATGTGTACCATAAAGACCTAATGAAGACACAAAAACCTGCATTGTTCAAGTAATACTTCTGGCTCTCATTGAGCCAGTCATAGCCAACACACAGCAGACACTATTAAGTCTTTGTGGATAGTATAACAGCATATTGGCATTTTGCAATGCTGAAACAATTATTATTTATCAACAATGTGCATTAGGGTTTCACTGTGGTGTGTTTCTGGTAGACCTTAATCTGTAGGATCTGCAGGTCCTGATGCACATGCGCGCACACACACACACACACAGACAGACAGACAGATGCACACACACCCTCACTCTTTCTCTGACCCCCTCCTCTCCCTGTATTGTTCCTGTGTTTCCAGTGGAACACATCCTGCAGATTCTGGGACAGCCTTTAGGGGGTAATGGAGATTTCCAGTCCCCTCTCATCCCAGCCTTCCCAGTTACCCAGAGTGAGGCCATTCACGGCAGCGAGGACTCTGACGGCATCCATCCCATCCCTCTCCCCCCAACGCTCAGCATTATCAACGGGAAACACCAGGTCAGATTTACTGAGGACGTCTTAATGTGTGAGAAATATTCAGCGTCTCTTTCAAGGACAATGGAAGTAGAAAAGCATAATTGGGATGGTTTGCAAAAGTGATATGACACAACAATAAATATTAATTCATTCATTTACTCCTTCATTAATCCATTCATTCAGCAGGAGGCTAGAGGAGACCAGTTTGAGACGGCCACACCAGTCCATGGTGAACTGGGAGGAGAGATGGAGCAAGAAGAGGAGGAGAAGAGCCCCACTCCCTTTGACTATGACGCCATCCATACTGGAGAGACCAGCGAGTCCACTGCTATAGACACAGACAGAGATACAAAAAGACACACAGCTAAAGACACAGGCAGAGACAGGACAGGAAAGACAGAGAGCTCCAAAGGAACAACCACTACTTCCCGCGACACATCCCCAGTCTCTTCCCCAGTCTTAGCCTCATCCCCTGGTTCCCCCCATACTTCCCCAGATGGCATCGCCCCCTATGAGGACATGGAGGGGTCAGGCGGCCGTACCCAGGAGGGCTCAGCAGAAGACACCCGACCCACCCCTGCCTCAGACAGCCAATCAGGCGTGGTCACAGATGAGACGGAGATTGGAGGGGCGGAGAGTGTCACACGCACCCCATCTCACCCACTCTCCGCTCACACTAAGGACACAAACACTATTGACACTTACACCAAGGACACACACACTCCCTCACAGACAGAGGCGGGAGACTTCGAGGGGTCTACATCGGCAGAAGAGGAAGGCTCAGCACAGGAGGTGTACCCACCTGAAGACCCCAGATACACTAGCCCTGGCAGTCCTGGAGCCATCGAGGCTCCCCTGGTGGGGCCTGGGGTGGACGGACAGGTGACTGTTACACCCAAACTAGGAACCAGGCCAGGAGCCAGACCAGGAACCAGGCCAACCCAGGCAGGAGTGACTGTAGGAGACCACACTGGACATCACACAGACTCTTCTACACAGCCCAGAGACCACTCCCACCAACCTGCCACACAAGATAAAGATCTCTCCACTCATACTAAAGATCAAACCAGATACCCTTCTACAGATTGGATGGACCAAACCACTCAGCAAACCAAACAGGATAGGAATCACTCCACAGACACTAAGGATCATTCCAAATACCCTGCTACACAAACCACCCAGCGTCCAACACACGACAGGGATACCACCAAGAACCAAACCACACACGATAGAGATCACTCCACACACACTAAGGACCAAACCAAACAACCCTCTGACCCTAGATTCCCCACCACCCACCATAAGGACCAAACCAGTCACTCTACCACAGATCAGAAGACCCCACAGCACCTGAACCAAACGCATACACCCCCTGCACACCCCTCCACTTCACTTCCCGCCCACCCCTCCCACCCCATCCCCGACTGGGCCCTGACCCCCCAGGACCCCCTACCTGAGGGGGAGGAGTTTGTGGATTATGACCGTGTGATTGGTCCTCCTCTGCCGGAGGCCGGCCCCCCTGTTCCTGATGAACGTCAGTCCACATACCAGCCTGAAACAGGAACTGACTACTACATCGAGGCTCAGTTCGTCGATGTCAGGGGTAGGTGTAAATATCAGAGCCTATTCAATGTGTTTAACAAAGGGTGCATGACGTCATCATGGCCGCTGTCTTCTCTGCTCTCAGGGTTGTTGTTGAATGTTGATGATGATAATAATGTTCTTGATGCTGATGTTTCTGATGATGACGATGACAGCGATGACGATGTTGATCATGCTATTGATGGCTTTGCTATGATGATGATGATGATGATGATGATGATGATTATATATATGTGTGTGTCTCAGGACTGCAGCAGTGCACAGTGAATGTGTGTCTGAATAAAGCATCCTGCTACCAGAGAGGCAGCGCCAGCATCTGTGTGTGTGAACCTGGATACATCGGACAGCACTGTGAGACAGGTACACACACACACACACACACACACACACACACACACACACAGAGATATCATATTGTCTCTGTTATTTGTGTAGATGTTGATGAGTGCCAGTCCAACCCATGTCGTAATGGAGCCACCTGTATAGACGGAGTCAACTCCTTCACCTGTGTGTGTCTGCCCAGCTACACAGGACAGCTCTGTGAACAAGGTAACACACATACACATGCGCACACACACAAACACACCTGTGCAGCTGCTTTAAAACCCTAATCAAGGCTTTTACAAAATAGAGACAGCCTTTCAAGCCTGACTGTTACACCCAAACCAGGAACCAGACCAGGAACCAGGCCAGGAACCAGACCAGGAACCAGACCAGGAACCAGACCAGGAGCCAGACCAGGAACCAGGCCAACCCAGGCAGGAGTGACTGTAGGAGACCACACTGGACATCACACAGACTCTTCTACACAGCCCAGAGACCACTCCCACCAACCTGCCACACAAGTTAAAGATCTCTCCACTCATACTAAAGATCAAACCAGATACCCTTCTACAGATTGGATGGACCAAACCACTCAGCAAACCAAACAGGATAGGAATCACTCCACAGACACTAAGGATCATTCCAAATACCCTGCTACACAAACCACCCAGCGTCCAACACACGACAGGGATCCCACCAAGAACCAAACCACATACGATAGAGATCACTCCACACACACTAAGGACCAAACCAAACAACCCTCTGACCCTAGATTCCCCACCACCCACCATAAGGACCAAACCAGTCACTCTACCACAGATCAGAAGACCCCACAGCACCTGAACCAAACGCATACACCCCCTGCACACCCCTCCACTTCACTTCCCGCCCACCCCTCCCACCCCATCCCCGACTGGACCCAGACCCCCCTACCTGAGGGGGAGGAGTTTGTGGATTATGACCGTGTGATTGGTCCTCCTCTGCCGGAGGCCGGCCCCCCTGTTCCTGATGAACGTCAGTCCACATACCAGCCTGAAACAGGAACTGACTACTACATCGAGGCTCAGTTCGTCGATGTCAGGGGTAGGTGTAAATATCAGAGCCTATTCAATGTGTTTAACAAGGGGTGCATGACGTCATCATGGCCGCTGTCTTCTCTGCTCTCAGGGTTGTAGTTGAATGTTGATGATGATAATAATGTTCTTGATGCTGATGTTTCTGATGATGACGATGACAGCGATGACGATGTTGATCATGCTATTGATGGCTTTGCTATGATGATGATGATGATGATGATGATGATGATGATGATTATATATATGTGTGTGTCTCAGGACTGCAGCAGTGCACAGTGAATGTGTGTCTGAACGAAGCATCCTGCTACCAGAGAGGCAGCGCCAGCATCTGTGTGTGTGAACCTGGATACATCGGACAGCACTGTGAGACAGGTACACACACACACACACACACACACACACACACACACACACACACACACACACAGAGATATCATATTGTCTCTGTTATTTGTGTAGATGTTGATGAGTGCCAGTCCAACCCATGTCGTAATGGAGCCACCTGTATAGACGGAGTCAACTCCTTCACCTGTGTGTGTCTGCCCAGCTACACAGGACAGCTCTGTGAACAAGGTAACACACATACACATGCGCACACACACAAACACACCTGTGCAGCTGCTTTAAAACCCTAATCAAGGCTTTTACAAAATAGAGACAGCCTTTCAAGCCTGACTGTTACACCCAAACCAGGAACCAGACCAGGAGCCAGACCAGGAACCAGGCCAGGAGCCAGACCAACCCAGGCAGGAGTGACTGTAGGAGACCACACTGGACATCACACAGACTCTTCTACACAGCCCAGAGACCACTCCCACCAACCTGCCACACAAGTTAAAGATCTCTCCACTCATACTAAAGATCAAACCAGATACCCTTCTACAGATTGGATGGACCAAACCACTCAGCAAACCATTCAGGATAGGAATCACTCCACAGACACTAAGGATCATTCCAAATACCCTGCTACACAAACCACCCAGCGTCCAACACACGACAGGGATACGACCAAGAACCAAACCACACACGATAGAGATCACTCCACACACACTAAGGACCAAACCAAACAACCCTCTGACCCTAGATTCCCCACCACCCACCATAAGGACCAAACCAGTCACTCTACCACAGATCAGAAGACCCCACAGCACCTGAACCAAACGCATACACCCCCTGCACACCCCTCCACTTCACTTCCCGCCCACCCCTCCCACCCCATCCCCGACTGGACCCAGACCCCCCTACCTGAGGGGGAGGAGTTTGTGGATAATGACGGTGCGATTGGTCCTCCTCTGCCAGAGGCCGGCCCTCCTGTTCCTGATGAACCTCAGTCCACATACCAGCCTGAAACAGGAACTGACTACTACATCGAGGCTCAGTTCGTCGATGTCAGGGGTAGGTGTAAATATCAGAGCCTATTCAAAGTGTTTAACAAGGGGTGCATGACGTCATCATGGCCGCTGTCTTCTCTGCTCTCAGGGTTGTAGTTGAATGTTGATGATGATAATAATGTTCTTGACGCTGATGACGATGTTGATCATGCTATTGATGGCTTTGCTATGATGATGATGATGATGATTATTATATATATGTGTGTGTCTCAGGTCTGCAGCACTGCACAGTGAATGTGTGTCTGAACGAAGCATCCTGCTACCAGAGAGGCAGCTCCAGCATCTGTGTGTGTGAACCTGGATACACCGGACAGCGCTGTGAGACAGGTACACACACATACACACGTGCGCACACACACACACACACACACACACACACACACACACAGAGATATCATATTGTCTCTGTTATTTGTGTAGATGTTGATGAGTGCCAGTCCAACCCATGTCGTAATGGAGCCACCTGTATGGACGGAGTCAACTCCTTCACCTGTGTGTGTCTGCCCAGCTACACAGGACAGCTCTGTGAACAAGGTAACACACACACACAAACATGTGCAGCTGCTTTAATACTCTAATTAAGGCTTTTACAAATCAGAGACAGGCTTTCAAGCCAACTCACAGTTCTGTCCAAATGTGGTAAATCATTATAGTGGATCTGCCAGCTCTTGGTCATATTTAGTCAGTAGACAGACTACATTCTCTGGATCAGGCTGGGAAAGCCAATGTCTAAGGGTGGCTACGGCTGTGTCTGAGGGGAACACACACACACCACGCCACACACACACACACACACACACACACACACACACACACACACACACACACACACACACACACACACACACACACACACACACACACACGCGCACACACGCACACACACACAGTGAGTCATGTCTCTGCTCCCTGGATATCCCCTGACACTGGGCGTTAGATCCACAGTCCACAGTTGATTAGAACCAGCTCCATTGCCTGTATTTCTACTATTACTCAGTGACTAACCCACCCACACACATTGGCTCACGTGCACACACACATACTGTACATACGTGCATTGTGTACATTCACACTCTTACTGTCTGCACAGTGCATACACAAATATCATGCAAAACAAATAAACACACTGACACCCAAACCTGGAGAGCCACAGCTGTTTTCTCATGGTAGTGTGTCAGGGGAGAGAGAGAAAGGAGAGAATTAGTCCATTATTGTGTTAGAAAGATGTTGCAGCTGTGAGGAACTAGATCAATGCAGGCTGTACTAACCACTGGCATGGACCAAACCAACTATTTATCCAATACAGAGCTGCTCATTGACAGTGTGTGTGTGGGTGGGTGGACATGTTTAACTATTTTTGTGGGGACCAAACATTTTACCAACTGGGGACATTTTGATAGTCCCCACGAAGTCAGATGCTATTTCTAGGGGGTTTAGGATTAAGGTTAGAATTACGTTTAGGGTTAGGAGCTAGGGTTAGGTTTAGGGTTAAGGTTAGGTTTTTGGGTTAAGGTTAGGGTAAGAGTACGGGTAGGGTTAGCTTTAGGGGTTAGGGAAAATAGGATTTTGAATGGGACTGAATTGGAAAGGTTAGCTATACAAGACTTGTGTGTGTGTGTGCTTAGCGAGAGTGTATATTAAGTTAATAAAGTTGATCTGAAGTTTGCTGATGATAGACACAGCCTGAGGCCCTGGGTAAAGAGTTCATAACCCCCCACCTAACATACACACACACACACACACACACAGAGACACAAACACACACACACAGAGAGACACACACACACACACAGAGAGACATACACAGGGACTGCCAGTCTTGGTTTAGCCCTTTATAAGGTTAAATACAGTAAAAGGGTTGTATGTTTCTCTAGACATTCTAACCCATTATAATCAATAACATCACAAAGACCTGCTTATTCAGCCCGTATGGTATGAATGGGACTGGTCATTCCCTAGCAACGAACATAGCAACAATACTTGTGTGAAACAAGCAAAACATACCAGAGAAATTAACATTGTTTTTTTACAGATTGGCATTCGCCGTATCATTTGTCTCATCATTAAATTATGTAAACACATGAAGTGTTGTTTTTCGTAACCTATTGAACTTCAACATTCAAGAGTAGAACACTCAGAATAAACTTCTAGAATGATGGAACTACTCTAAACAACTATTCAGAATTATTGTTCTATGAGAACAGCTCACCAGAGAATCATGTTGTGAATGGTTATCTCATCCAAGCCAGCAGCGCGCCGGATCATGGTGTTCTGACATACACTACATGTACAGTGGGGAGAACAAGTATTTGATACACTGCCGATTTTGCAGGTTTTCCTACTTACAAAGCATGTAGAGGTCTGTAATTTTTATCATAGGTACACTTCAACTGTGAGAGACAGAATCTAAAACAAAAATCCAGAAAATCACATTGTATGATTTTTAAGTAATTAATTAGCATTTTATTGCATGACATAAGTATTTGATACATCAGAAAAGTAGAACTTAATATTTGGTACAGAAACCTCTGTTTGCAATTACAGAGATCATACGTTTCCTGTAGGTCTTGACCAGGTTTGCACACACTGCAGCAGGGATTTTGGCCCACTCCTCCATACAGACCTTCTCCAGATCCTTCAGGTTTCGGGGCTGTCGCTGGGCAATACAGACTTTCAGCTCCCTCCATAGATTTTCTATTGGGTTCAGGTCTGGAGACTGGCTAGGCCACTCCAGGACCTTGAGATGCTTCTTACGGAGCCACTCCTTAGTTGCCCTGGCTGTGTGTTTCGGGTCGTTGTCATGCTGGAAGACCCAGCCACGACCCATCTTTAATGCTCTTACTGAGGGAAGGAGGTTGTTGGCCAAGATCTTGCGATACATGGCCCCATCCATCCTCCCCTCAATACGGTGCAGTCGTCCTGTCCCCTTTGCAGAAAAGCATCCCCAAAGAATGATGTTTCCACCTCCGTGCTTCACGGTTGGGATGGTGTTCTTGGGTTTGTACTCATCCTTCTTCTTCCTCCAAACACGGCGAGTGGAGTTTAGACCAAAAAGCTCTATTTTTGTCTCATCAGACCACATGACCTTCTCCCATTCCTCCTCTGGATCATCCAGATGGTCATTGGCAAACTTCAGACGGGCCTGGACATGCGCTGGCTTGAGCAGGGGGATTTTAATCCATGACGGCGTAGTGTGTTACTAATAGTTTTCTTTGAGACTGTGGTCCCAGCTCTCTTCAGGTCATTGACCAGGTCCTGCCGTGTAGTTCTGGGCTGATCCCTCACCTTCCTCATTGATGCCCCACGAGGTGAGATCTTGCATGGAGCCCCAGACCGAGGGTGATTGACCGTCATCTTGAACTTCTTCCATTTTCTAATAATTGCGCCAACAGTTGTTGCCTTCTCACCAAGCTGCTTGCCTTTTGTCCTGTAGCCCATCCCAGCCTTGTGCAGGTCTACAATTTTATCCCTGATGTCCTTACACAGCTCTCTGGTCTTGGCCATTGTGGAGAGGTTGGAGTCTGTTTGATTGAATGTGTGGACAGGTTTCTTTTATACAGGTAACGAGTTCAAACAGGTGCAGTTAATACAGGTAATGAGTGGAGAACAGGAGGGCTTCTTAAAGAAAAACTAACAGGTCTGTGAGAGCTGGAATTCTTACTGGTTGGTAGGTGATCAAATACGTATGTCATGCAATAAAATGCAAATTAATTACTTAAAAATCATACAATGTGATTTTCTGGATTTTTGTTTTAGATTCTGTCTCTCACAGTTGAAGTATACATATGATAAAAATGACAGACCTCTACATGCTTTGTAAGTAGGAAAACCTGCAAAATCGGCAGTGTATCAAATACTTGTTCTCCCCACTGTATGTGGACACCTGCTCAGCGAACATCTCATTCCAAAATCATAGCCATTAATATGGAGTTGGTCCCCCTTTGCTGCTATAACAGCCTCCACTCTTCTGGGAAGGCTTTCCACTAGATGTTGGAATATTGCTGCGGGGACTTGCTTCTATTCAGCCACAAGAGCATTAGTGAGGTCAGGCACTGATGTTAGGCGATTAGGCCTGGCTCGCAGTCAGCATTCCAATTCATCCAAAAGGTGTTCGATGGGGTTGAGGTCAGGACTCTGTGCAGGCCAGTCAAGTTCTTCCACACTGATCTCGACAGACCATTTCTGTATGGACCTCGCTTTGTGCACGGGGGCATTGTCAGGCTGAAACAGGAAAGGGCCTTCACCAAACTGTTGCCACAAAGTTGGAAGCACAGAATCGTCTAGAATGTCATTTTATGCTGTAGCGTTAAGATTTCCCTTCACTGGAACTAAGGGGCCTAGCCCAAACCATGAAAAATAGCCCCAGACCATTATTCCTCCTCCACCAAACTTTACAGTTGGCACTATGCATTGGGGCAGGTAGCGTTCTCCTGGCATCCACCAAACCCAGATCGTCCGTCGGACTGCCAGAGGGTGAAGCGTGATTAATCACTCCAGAGAACGCGTTTCCACTGCTCCAGTGTCCAATGGCGGCAAACTTTACACCACTCCAGCCGACGCTTGGCATTGCGCATGGTGATCTTAGGCTTGTGTGCGGCTGCTCGGCCATAGAAGCCCATTTCATGAAGCTCCCGACGAACAGTTCTTGCGCTGACGTTGCTTCCAGAGGCAGCTTGGAACTCGGTAGTGAGTGTTGCAACCGAGGACAGACGACTTTTACATGCTACGCGGTTCAGCACTCGGCGGTCCTGTTCTGTGAGCTTGTGTGGCCTAGACATTTCCACTTCACAATAACAGCACTTACAGTTGACCGGGGCAGCTCTAGCAGGGCTGACTTGTTGGAAAGGTGGCATCCTATGACAGTGCCACGTTGAAAGTCACTTCAGTACGGGCCATTCTACTGCCAATGTTTGTCTATGGAGATTGCATGGCGGTGTGCTCGATTTTATACACCTGTCAGCAACAGGTGTGGCTGAAATAGCCGAATCCACTAAATGGGTGTCCACATACTTTTGCACACCAGCATGCGTTTCATGACCAAATCTAACAAAGTCCAACATCAACAAAGAGGGTTCAGTTCACTATGGAGCTACAGTCCCTTTTTTGTCATTTTAGCAGACGCTCTTATCCAGAGCGACTTACAGTTAGTACTCATCTATTGACTGGGCTTATGCAGGCGGATTCAATGTGTGTGCGGGCATGACAGCGGGCAAGCTTGCGTGTTTGTCCTAGAGAATAGGGGAATTTGTGAGGGTTTCCAAACAGGCTAATGAGTTTCAATTGTGAGCCTATGAGTTTGTAAGCTCATTCAGCCAGCTGGAGCGCTCTCTCCCTCTTACAGTCCACCCTTCGTTTTAGTTTCTCTCTCTTTCACTCTCTCACTCTGTTTTACTCTCTTTCGCTCTCTGTTTCTCTCTCTCTCTTCACCTCCAGGTTTGTGCAATTTGTTTAATCTCTGTAGATATTGTTAGTCATTGATTTATTCTCTTCGTCATTGATTCCTCTCGCTCTCCCTGTCTCTCCCCCAGACACGGAGGTGTGTGAGTATGGCTGGCAGAAGTTCCAGAGCCAGTGTTATAAGTACATCACCCACCGTCGCACCTGGGATGCTGCCGAGAGGGAGTGTCGTCTCCAAGGAGCCCACCTCGTCAGTGTCCTGTCACAGGAGGAGCAGCTGTATGTCAACGGTAAGTCCGCCTCCTTTAGGTTATCATAGGTCACGGGTCACAGGTCACAGGCCCAGGTTAGGGTCAGAGGGTAGAGATTATGGGCTATAGAGATCATGTGTGTCGCATGTAGCACTCAATTGTCCATATGAAACTGTTTTTATGAGTCTGTACACCAACACAGAAAACAAACTGTAAAAGACTGGTGTTTGTGCAACAAGCAGCTCAGAAGGCTGGCTGGGGTAATAACATGACCCAGTTTCTGACTTGTTTATGGGGGACAGTTGATGGTGCAAGGGGGGTGGGGGGTTTTGTATACAAGATGGACTCATTTCATGCTCTAGGGATGATTACCTACTCTACAGTAAGTATCCCCTCTGCTTTTGTCTGTATTGTTTCTCTCTCACACACACACACACACACACACACTGCAATCTGTAATCTAGTCTGTAAACATGCAAGCTTTATTGTGTTAGACAGATAAGATGGGAACAGGGAAAGGGAGAGGAGAGAAATAGGGAGAGGAGAAGGGAGGTACAGGGTTTAGGAAAGTGGGAGAGAAGGAGAGAAGGAGAGGTTGGCAGTGTTTCGGGGCTCAGAAAGCAGGCTTTGGGAACAGGAAACTGGTTATTTCCTGTTGTAGAACTAAAGAGAATCAGGCTAATCTAACTGTTGTTTCTAACCCCTAGGTCTGGGCCATGACTACCAGTGGATCGGTCTAAACGACAAGATGTTTGAGAGAGACTTCCGCTGGACTGACGGCAACATCATGGTAAGACAGGAGAAAATCACCCTGATAAGATATTATATGATATGGGTGTTACTACTTATTATATATATATACACACACACACACACACACACACACACACACGCACGCACGCACACACTGTCCAGCTGTTTTCTCTGTATGACGTCTGGGGAGTTATCGCTCAGTACAACAAGACACACCCTTGTTCACTTCTAAGTGTTCCAGTGTGCGTTTGGGTGTGTATTCAAGTTAACATGCATCACTGCATGGTTGAAGCCGTTTGGACCAGGGACACTGCGACAAAAAGAACCCAGGGAAGAGAGAGGTCATCGGCGGGTAGAGTTGGGGAGAACTCTCCTTGTCCCCATGTCCATCTGCCTGTTGGTGGTGGTGGTGGGAGGTTGGCTAAACAGTTGGGTCAGCTACAGATAGAGATTATGGGGCTGGCTCACTTAGATGGAGCCATCGCGCCCCATATAGCCTCTCTGTATATTACAGCCACAGACTAAGATCTCTTCAGCAAAAAACATCAAAATTAATGACAGATTTCTTAAATGATCTTAGATTAATTCTGACTATTTTGAGGAAGTGCATACGGGCTACGGCGTCCCAAAATGGACAAACAGTACTATTGCCGTTTTTTTCTATTTTAAGGGAGTATGCGCAAGCACACTCTTTCGGCCAGCTGAAGCATGCTGGCGCCTTTACTCCACCTCAGCACCATTCAAATCCAATCCAATTACATTTGTCACATGATTTGTAAACAACAGGTGTAGACTAACAGTGAAATGCTTACTTACGGGCCCTTCCCAACAATGCAGAGAGAAAGAAAAGTAAAACACGTGTCACGGTATACTTGTGGATGTGGTGGTGAAGTCAGGCGCAGGACACAGCGGATAAGTCAAAAAGACTTTACTTGACTCAATGACACAATACAAAAATAAATGGCCTCGAAAACACAGGAGGCGAAAACCTACGCGCAACTCGTAAAACACTAATGCACAACATATACCAAAAAGACAAACGACAGGCGGACAAGTACACTATTAAAGAGATGTACGCATATCACGCTGCGCCTTGGTCCACTCATTATGACGACCGTGACAGAAGATCTCACCAAAACAGGACCAAGCAGCGTGTCCAGGAGCAGACAGCCTGGACTTGGGAGGAGATCTTGGACGGGCAGGGGTCCTGGACTTGGGAGGAAATCCAGGCCGGAATGGATCGCCGTCCGTGGGAGGAGACGGTGGAGGCGCGCCATAGAGAGGAGCAGCGGCGCCAACCGGGTCGACGTCGGACACGCAAGAGGCAACCCCAATAATTTTTTTTGGGGGGGCACACGGCATGGACGACGGGGCTGCTGGAGGCAGCTACAGGGCGAGTTTGGGGATTAGGAGAGGCCACAGGGTTTGGGGGGCTGGAAGGGAGGTTGGCGGAGCCTAGAGGTAGAGCAGAGCCAACTCCCCGTACTCAGGCTAGGCATCGTGAGACTGGGCAGGTTCCGAGGTATGCGGAGCTGCGTACTGTGCCGCGAGTGGTCCGGCACAGTCCGGTACGTCCTGTGCGAGCACCACGCACGTGTCGTGCTAAGGTGGGCATGCAGCCAGGACGGAGTGTGCCGGCTCAACGCTCGTGGCCTCCAGTGCCCCTCCTCGGTCCCGGATATCCTGCGCCAGTGTCACGTGCTGTAGTGCCAGTATGAGTACACAGCCCTGTACGTCCTGTGCTGATGCCTCACACAGAGTGTGTAAAAATAGGCATTCAGCCAGGACGGGTTGTGTCAGCTCTTCGCTCCAGACCTCCAGTCCGTCTCGACAGCCCGGTCCGGCCTGTTCCTGCTCCCCGCACCAAGCCTGTGGTGCGCGTCGCCAGCCCGGCCCGGCCTGTTCCTGCCCCTCGCACCAAGCCTGTGGTGCGCGTCGCCAGCCCGGCCCGGCCTGTTCCTGCCCCTCGCACCAAGCCTGTGGTGCGCGTAGCCAGCCCGGTCCGGCCTGTTCCTGCTCCCCGCACCATGCCTGTGGTGCGCGTCGCCAGCCCGGCCCGGCCTGTTCCTGCTCCCCGCACCAAGCCAGTGGTGCGCATCGTCAGCCCGGTCTGGCCCGTTCCTGCTCCCCGCACCAAGCCAGTGGTGCGCGTCGTCAGCCCGGTCCGGCCCATTCCTGCTCCCCGCACCAAGCCAGTGGTGCGCATCGTCAGCCCGGTCCGGCCCGTTCCTGCTCCCCGCACCAAGTCAGTGGTGCGCGTCGTCAGCCCGGTCCGGCCCATTCCTGCTCCCCGCACCAAGCCTGTGGTGCGCATCGTCAGTCCGGCACAGCCCGTGCCTGTTTCACCGGTGCCTGGTCAGGTACCGGTCAGCTGCTCCACACCGGAGCCTAAGCAATCCGCTCCACCGATGTCCAGCTCCTGCCAGCGGGGCCAGACCAAACCAGGGGCGCTACGGGGGGGTAGTTAGAGGGTGGTGGTCACGCCCGGAGCCGGATCCGCCTCCGAGGTGGAATGCCCACCCGGCCCCTCCCCTGTTGGGTTTATGTTGGCGCGGTCGCAGTCCGCGCCTTTGGGGGTGGGGGGGGTACTGTCACGCCCTGGCTCTGGGGACTCTTGTATGTTGAGCCAGGGTGTTAGTTTCTTTGTGTAGTGTCTATGTTTCGTTTCCTATGTTCTGTTCTAGGTTATGTGTTTCTATGTTGGCCGGGGTGGTTCTCAATCAGAGGCAACAAGAATCAGCTGTTGCTTGTTGTCTCTGATTGGGAACCATACTTAGGCAGCCTTTTGTGCACTTGTGATTCGTGGGATCTTGTTCCGTGTAGGTTTGTGTATGACCGAGGACTTCACGTTTCGTTTTGTTGTTTTGTTATTTGTATCGTGTTGCTAAGTACACTATTAAAGAGATGTATGCATATCACGCTGCGCCTTGGTCCACTCATTATGACGACCGTGACAACACGTAATAATAGATACACAATGAGTAACGATAACTTGGCTATATACAAGGGGTACCAATACCAAGTTGATGTGCAGGGGTACGAGGTAATTGAGGTAGATACACTGCATTCGGAAAGTATTCAGACCCCTTCCCTTTTTCCACATTTTGTTATGTTACAACTTTATTCTAAAATTGATACAATTATATATTTTTCCTCATCAATCCACACACAATACCCCATAATGACAGAGCGAAAACACGTTTTTATAAACTTTTGCAAATTTAGTAAAAATAAAAAACGGAAATACCTTATTTACATATGTATTCAGACCCTTTGCTATGAGACTCGAAATTGAGCTCAGGTGCATCCTGTTTCCATTGATCATCCTTGAGATGTTTCTACAACCTGATTGGAGTCCACCTGTGGTTGATTTGGAAAGGCACACACCTGTCTATATAAGGTCCCACAGTTGACAGTGCATGTCAGAGCAAAAAGCAAGCCATGAGGTCAAAGGAATTGTCCGTAGAGCTCCGAGACAGGATTGTGTCAAGGCACAGATCTGGGGAAGGGTACCAAAAAATGTCTGCAGCATTGAAGGTCCCCAAGAACACAGTGGCCTCCATCATTCTTAAATGGAAGAAGTTTGGAACCACCAAGACTCTTCCTAGAGCTTGCCGCCTGGCCAAACTGAGCAATCGGGGGAGAAGGGCCTTGATCAGGGAGATGACCACGAACCCGATGGTCACTCTGACAGAGCTCCAGCGGTCCTCTGTGGAGATGGGAGAACCTTCCAGAAGGACAACCATCTCTGCAGCACTCCACCAATCAGGCCTTTATGATAGTGGCCAGACGGAAGCCACTCCTCAGTAAAAGGCACATGACAGCCTGCTTGGAATTTGCCAAAAGGCACCTAAAGGACTCTCAGACCATGAGAAACAAGATTCTCTGGTCTGATGAAACCAAGATTGAACTCTTTGGCCTGAATGCCAAGCTTTACGTCTGGAGGAAATCTGACACCATCCCTACGGTGATGCATGGTGGTGGCAGCATCATGGTGTGGGGATGTTTTTCAGAGGCAGGGACTGGGAGACTAGTCAGGATTGAGGGAAACATGAATGGAGCAAAGTACAGAGAGATCCTTGATGAAAACCTGCTCCAGAGCACTCAGGACCTCAGACTGGGGCGAAGGTTCACCTTCCAACAGGACAACGACCCTAAGCACACAGCCAAGACAACGCAGGAGTGGCTTCAGGACAAGTCTCTGAATGTCCTTGAGTGGCCCAGCCAGAGCCCGGACTTGAACCCGATCTCTGGAGAGACCTGAAAATAGCTGTGCAGCGACACTCCCCATCCAACCTGACAGAGATTGAGAGGATCTGCAGAGAAGAATGGGAGAAACTCCCCAAATACAGGTGTGCCAAGCTTGTAGCATCATACCCAAGAAGACTCAAGGCTGTAATCGCTGCCAAAGGTGCTTCAACAAAGTACTGAGTGCATGGTCTGAATAATTATGTAAATGTGATATTTCTGGGTTTTTGTGTGGGTTTTTTTTAGTTAAAAAAAATATAAAAACCTGTTTTTGCTTTTTCATTATGGGGTATTGTGTGTAGATTGATGAGGGAAAAAAACAATTTAATCAATTTTAGAATAAGGATGTAACATAAAAAAATGTGGAAAAAGTCAAGGGGTCTGAATACTTTCTGAATGCACTGTACATATAACTTGTAATAAAGTGACAGATAGTAAGTAGCAACACCGTATGTTATGAGTAAAAAAAGTTAGTTCAATAAGGGTCAATGCAGATAATCCGGGTAACTATTTGGTTAACTATTTAACTAACTATTTAGCAGTCTTATGGCTTGGGGGTAGAAGCTGTTCAGGGTCCTGTAGGTTTCAGACTTGGTGTATCGGTACCGCTTGCCATGCGGTAGCAGAGAGAACAGTCGATGACTTGGGTGGCTGGAGTCTTTGACAATTTTTTGGGCCTTCCTCTGACCGCCTGGTATAGAGTTCCTGGATGGCAGGGAGCTTGCCCCCAGTGATGTCCTTGGCCCTACGCAGTACCCTCTGTAGCGCCTTGCGGTCGGATGCCAAGCGGTTGCCATTCCAGGCGGTGATGCAGCCAGTCAGGATGCTCTCAATGGTGCAGCTGTAGATCTTTTTCAGGATCTATAGGGCCCATGTACCAGCAACCCTTGGGGCACTTGGCATACCCACAGGGGGTACTTGAGAAGACTCATGAGACCATAGGCTTACTGGTAAAATCCACATTAGGGGGTACTTCAGGGGTACCCCGGGCAGAGCAAAATTCAGTTGGTGGTACATTAATAGAAAAAGATTGGGAACCACTGCAGTAGGAGTCTCCATCAGTGGAGGCTCCTCAGAGGAGGAAGGAGAGAACCATCATCCTCAGTGAATTACATAAAAATAAAAATAGTGAAACATGAGGAGCAGAGTTAACAAAGGAACTGTGTGTAATATCCCAATAAGCTTGTTAAAAGGTATTGTCATCTGGTGCCTATAGTAGCTAGTGATTAATGAGATTTGTAAAGAAGTTACATTAAGATTCCTCCACTGTGTTATACGGTGACTAGCTTATAGGCCAGGTGTAGTCTGAGGATCCTAGACTGTATAAGGGCTGTGTGAGCTATCAGAGTAACTGTGATGCAGTAAAGGTGTTAGTGAATGTGACTAAACTTTGGTGATGATGACAGTGTGTGATTGTATTTGTAGCAATATGAGCACTGGCGTCCCAACCAGCCAGACAGTTTCTTCCAGTCTGGAGAGGACTGTGTGGTGATGATCTGGCACGAGGGAGGACAGTGGAATGACATACCCTGCAACTACCACCTCACCTTCACCTGCAAGAAGGGCACAGGTAACTCACGCACACACACACACACACACACACACACACACACACACACATAAACACATACATAGATACCTAACCCCTGTCCTCTCTCCTCCCTCCAGTCTCTTGCAGCCAGCCCCCAGTAGTGGAGGATGCTTGTGTGTTTGGTTCTATGAAGCCTCGTTATGAGATCAACACTCTGGTTCGTTACCACTGTAAAAACGGCTTCATACAGAGACACCCCCCCACCATCCGCTGCCGTGACAACGGCCAATGGGACAGCCCCAAGATCACCTGCATGAGCCGTGAGTACTGCCCACTTCTTCTGTCTCTGACTACCAGAACTAACTACACCCACCCAACTAATCAGGGCCTAGATCCAACGACATTAACAATCTCTCTTTTTGTTTTTTTCAGCCGCTACCTACCAGAAGTCTTTCGCTTCTAGGAAACGCACCGATAATCACAATCATAACCAGAATCAGTACAATCACAATACTCACAACCAAAACCATGACCAGTACAACTATCAAAACCAACAATACAACAGCCAAAACAATCAAGACCAACAGAAGAACTACAACCAGAAACTTTAGGGCAGCTGTAACCAAAAGCAAAAACAGCAGAGCGAGAGGAGTCATCAACACTAATCTGATCTCTGGTCAGTTCTTAAAAGCGCAGCTAAGGTTGCAACATTTCTGGGAAACGTGTACAGTTATTCTACATCCCTAATCCCAGACCAACTCTGATCAGATCTCATCCAACAGGCTTGATAGGACCCATAGATATACATATATATCTATTTATAAATATGTATAGCTATGGCTCTGAATACAGCCATGGGGGTATTTCACAAGGCACAGTCATAATCAGCAAGCTAACTCTGATAAACTCTGATAAAACACTTTTCTAGTTTAGAACCAGGTTTTATAAACAATGTTACATAGAGTATTGAGTCCATTTCAAATTCAGCAAGGACAAATTAATTTTCAGAATATTTATTTAAGTTAGCTGGCTAACTTGATTTTGATCTTGCTTAGTGAAATCCACCCCAGATCATGTCTAATTCTTCCTACAAACGTGACACACAGTGCCTTAATGGTTAATACAGCAACAATGTCCATCTCTAGAACAGGAGAGCTTGACCACTCCTGCTCTAGAGGGACACATCTCAATCCAGTGCCTTCTGAACGTTTCCACTTTACCCTGTTTCTTTACCCCATAGAAATAATCCACTGAAAATAACAGATATATTTGGCTTACCACCAAAATGTTTGCCTGTGTGTTGGTCACAAGTTTGTAATTATTGCTGTGAAAGAGCCCACTAAGTTAAATTAACATGAATTATTACAACGTTTCCAGTATTTGCAATGTTTTTGTGTGAGACGAAGAGTCACTCGTTTATCACAATCTTTGGTCAATCAATTTATTTAAAAGTCACTATGAAGTTAAATTTGTCTTATTAATGACTGTTACCATATGGTGCATAGAACTGATATGAGGAAAGAGCTATATCAGTTCCTTATAGGAGAGGAGATGAGGAGAGGTATACGTCAAACAATATCTGTGATAGTCACCTCCTTCAGTGGCTCTCCAGCATATTCAGAAACGTCAGTGATATCTTAATCTTAAAGACAATGGTTTTAAAAGGGATTGGGTTTCTTACGTTTAACCAATTTGTTATTGTTATGTATGCAATGATAAATAGGAAAAGAGAGAGTATAATGAATGTCCGGTGCGTAGGTGGGAAAAGTTATATAAGAAGCCATAGCCGTTTAATTTATTGCATATGTTACACCTATAAATGGACTGTGATACTGTTTAAGGTAATTAGAACTGAAGTGATTGTTATAACGATGACTTATTTTGCTGTTTACAGAAATCTGCCTTGTTGTACCTTGCAGAGAAAGTACCTTATCTTACATTATGTTGCCTTTGTGTACTTTATGTTGCACAGAGTCTGTTTAGTAAAGTTCTACAATCCAGATATCTGAGCTGTTATCGCGCTGTTCAGGGGGATGACTTGTACCTGAGAGTCACCACAAACTGCTCTCAACAGAACCGACTTTGAGAAACATTCAAAGACACTTGACCATTTCTTCAGAAATACTACAAATAATTATTTTCCCCTAAGGACAGAAATGACTGGGTGAAGAAACAGCATTGAAAGTTTGTAGCCTTTGTCTTCTTGGTTTTCTGCTTTCATCCATTCTGTTTGCTCTCCATGTATGTGTTTTATCATAGTGTTTTATCATAGTGTTTTATCATCCAAATATGTGTGTTTCTAACCCAGAGAGTGTGGGGTATGCTGTATTGGGGAAGGCAAAGCGAATGTGAATACTTTGTCTGTTTTTATGTTCTTGTATCTGTTGTGTATGTCACCAAAAACTCACTAATACTGTACCTATACACCATCCTGTGCTCCATCTCACCTTCCGCTGACTGTGCAATAAAAATAAATACGATAACAGATTTGATCCAGTGTGTATCAATATTCTCACACTTCACATCTCAATGCAGAAGATTATTCAATAAAATCACTTGAGTTTATTGAACAATTATATGATTTTCTTTACCTGTCAGAGGTACTGACTACCAACAGAGGGAGCCACTGTACTTACTTTACAAAGTCTGGTGACGCAGTCAAAAGTTTAATGGTGTGAGTGATGACTGATGGTGCATACTCTCCCCCAGTGAATAAACAAATGAATGAATGAATGAATGGATGGATGAATGAATGAAATGATTGAAGTGAATAAATGACTCTTTCCTGTCTGTCAGTCAGTGCAGCCCTGCTGTGTGTCCAGGCAACAGATGCCTGCAGGCTAGGTGGGGGATCCTAAAATAGTGCTCTGCTCTGGAAACCAGCATGAATATATGAACCACTACCAGTAAACCAACATCTCAACCTCATGCCGTCATCCAGCTCCTAAAACAATCTGCTGCTTTGACAGACATTTTTCACTTACAAGATCAACGAACAGAACAGGAATACCATGAAAAGACCTCTGTGTACTTCTGTAATTCCCCAAACTGGCAGGAAAACCCTTATGCAAACGTCCCCACCCTTTGGAAACATGTACATTACAGAGGGCCTGTGTGTGTGTGCATCCGTGAATTACTGAAGGCCTGTGTCTTTACACCTGGCAGTCACAGCGTGCTTCAGTCCCAAATCAGCCCCTATCCTCTACCAATAGATACTGCACCTTGGCTCCTACTAAAGCCCTTATTCCTACATCACTCAGCAGTGATATACACACAGCTGCAAGTCCAGGTATTTTGGTTGTTTCCATTGGAACAATAAGAAGCAAAGTCAGGTGTAATTATTTTAATTGTTTTATTTTCCTCTTGACTTTGGGTCCAAAAAGTTCCTAACATAGTTACAAACAATACTGCAACTGAGTAATGTTGTACGTACACAAAACAGTGTAGGGATAGAAATGACTGCCTGGTTGTAGTTTTTTTCTTAAACTTTTGAATTAATTGATACATTACGTAGTTCATTCTTAAAATAAATCATGGACAGTTCTTGAACCAGCCAAAAGGGTTTTGTTAGTAAAGGTTCACAATGGGCATGTTACTACAGTTGAAGAAAAGCATTGGTGATGCTTTCTGACAGATTTGTAAAGTTCTCTGACAGAAGCGCTCGTGTGTTCATCATCATCGTTGTGGCTCATGATTCCTGTTTCAACATTGTTAATCACTGTGCTTTGCTGACTGGGGAAACAAGTAAGATACATATTTTTTTTACTAACATAATTTCTGAGGCTAATTTCAATATAAATATGTGTCTGTCCAGCAGGTCTTTGTGATAACGGTCAATGTTTTTTGCTCCTTCCACTGGCGTTCCTGTACTCACCTCTGAGTACGGTTGTGATAGGACACGGTAGAGCCAAGTCTAGCTAACTCAACAATAAGCTAACTATGTAAGGTTGAGCCAAGTATAGCTAACCTAACACTCCAGGAATGACCTAACATTCTCTTGGACCCAGCTAGCGTTGAGTGCTGTAAGCTCTTGTGCTAGTGTATGTCAGCCCTTCACAGTGTGTTGTTCTTACATGGGAGTCTCTTATAACCTACTGTACCTGCAGGAACCAATGGTGTTTTTAAATGGGATGATTATCTGGCCAATTCGCTGGGCTAGTCTAGAGTCGGCTGCACTGCTAGTGGTGTGCGAGGGTATTGCAGGCTCTGTGTTCATGCAGATAAATATATATGCCTGAGCTGTTGGCCTGAGCTTAGCTTAGCCATGCAGACTAACGTGGCATCGTTAGATAGCTAACAGCCTGTCACTGCTCAAACAACCAGTTTCACAGATATCACTGGGTCTACTCGTTCACTCTAAGAAACTATTTGTGTCAAAAATAGCACACCAAAAAATATTTAGAAGAAATTGGGATTTACACTGCAAGTGTTGCTTTTGGCTTTCTGCTGTGTATAAAAGCTCAGAGGCATGCCTTGTGTTTCTAGACTAAAGGCTAAGCTGTACATAGAGGCACAGCAACTAGTGTCTAACGTACATATTATACTGCAGGTCTGCATGTCACAATACTACTCAGTAAGACAACTATTGCCAGGCATTTTGTGTTGCTGCTGAGGACTAAATGCTGTTAACCTTGTCCCTTCTAGGCCACTGTAAGTCTTCTGACATAAACACAGTGTTTAGTGCAACATTTTGTATTTTGGTTTCATTATTTGTATGTTTCTGGGGTTAGTTTCAACACTTTAGCCCTGTGACTGAACACAGAACTCTGGGATAGCGTAGCGCAGAAAATTAAACAATATTTCTATATCAAAAGACATCCATAAACAGAAATACAATTCTAGATACTCACATTCTACATATTCATAGTAAAAAAAGAAAACTAAACAATGCTAATGGTTGGCTTCTCCTTTTTTATCCGTTTCTATGTTGAGACTGATGTTTGGTCCACACACAATATTAAATAAACTACTCAAAAATATGATGAAGTACATGACACTGTCGTAGCACCCTGCAAAGATGGACAGCAGACAGGATTTTAATTGTGCTATAGTTGCATTCTATAATATCATAATAATAGCTTGATCTATGCCATCTTTGCTTTTTGTGTTTGTGTAAATATTGTTGCTCTTTTGTTGTCCTAGGTTTAATTGAACAGAAAAGGTAAGTGCCCAAAGGTATCAGTCCAGTTATCAGAAGCTTTACTGTGTTGTTCTCAGTCCAAGCACGTCCTTCAAGCTATGGCATGCCTCGTCCACTTACAATGTCACTTTTGGACAATGTGACATCATCTTTATCTCCACCCCCACTCCCTCCCATTCCCTCCCTCCCACCACCCCCTTCCCCAAATCCATCCTCCCTTTCTGTTCCTGTGTAGAAATAACAGATTAAATAACATGAACCTTAAATATGCGTAAACTATCCCCAGTACAATATCAGGTCCCAGATTACAAAAAAACATGGATTGTTAAAATGACTCACACCTCTCGTTTTACTGTATCTGAAAAGAAAAAAATCACAGTTTGAACGTTTTTTTGTTTTGTTTTTTTATATCAGTAATTTCCCCTATATGACCTCCCTCTCTCGTAACTCCTCTTCCCATCCTCCTCTCCCTCCTACTCTGTAAATGTATTAGCTTCTCTAGTATGTGTGTGTGTGTGAGCATATTGGGGTTCTCAGTTGTGGCCCTTGAAGCAGTAGACTCCGTACAGCTTGTGTTTCTTGTCAGGGTAGCCGTTGAACCTCACGGCAGCTTCCGTTGGGCTGCATCGCCTACGGGGGCGGGTGATGGGGTAACGGACGCTCCCGTCAGCCAACCAGCCGGCGTCACAGCGGTCGTAGCCCAATAGCTTCCAGGCAGCATACATCTGGCCCACCTTGGCGATCTGAGCTCCGTCCTTCTGACACGCACGCACAGCCTCGTCATATGTCAGCTTGGAGGGGTGGATCAGGTAGTAGAACCGCCCTAAGAGAGGGAGGGAGCGGGTTAGATACACATGTACACACACACGCAAACACACACACACACACCCCCACACATACTCTCACCTTTGTAGTTGGAGGTGAAACAGAACACGTCGTATCTGTTCTTCTCCTTGTCTCTGAGGCCGTAGTTGCGTACCCCGGGGACAGTGTTCTTGCCCCCACAGGGTTCCCTGGGGGTGGTGATGGGATACTGGACAGATCCATCACTCAGCCACCCCGCGTTGCACCAGTCCAAACCCCCACGCCATGCCTCATACAGCTGGTCAAATGACGCCACGATGGAGTCCTGCTCGCGACACGCCCGCTCAGCATCAAAGAAGTTCAGGTTGTAACGACCCAGCCGAGGGAAGTATGGGTAGACGATACCTGGGAGAGTGGGGGAGAGAGAGAGAGAGGAGAGAGTCAACACCTTAACAGCAATTCATAAAACATCCATTTGCTTTGGGTTTTATATACTCACTTAATCTTAAACAGGTGGAAAACAAAACATAAGTTGTAAAAAATATATATACTGTATATAATAATAGCTAAACCCCATTAGCTTATAGCATTTGATCAAATCCTACAATTTTTATTCCATTGTTATGTGCTGTAGCTCTGATGATGGCAGTAATAGTTGATCATTCTCATATTTAATGGAGCAGGTCTAGCTGGGTGATGCATGGAGTTATACCCTGTTCCTTGGAGGAGTGCCAGGAATGGAAACCTAAATGATGAACTGCATTACTCCGGCCTGACTGTGTGTGTGTGTGTGTGCCCCTGAAAGTCCTCCTGGGTAGTCTCAGCTAGCGGTGCTATATATAGCCAGAACCATGGGCCATTTAGACAAGGACAGGCTGCTACGGAGTTTACACAGTAAATAGACTTTACCAAAGGACGGTTCTCTCAAAAACTTTTGTCAAACAGAGTCCATATTGAATACTAGCTGTTGTGTAGTCAGACTGCAGTGAGGACACACTGTGAAATTGTGTGTTTGTGTGTGTTGAAATGTGTGTGTTACCTTGCAGGTCCAGAGACACCACGGCCCGTTCCATCTTCCAACCCGTCGATGACCTCACACTTATATCTCCCATAATCCTCCAGTGTGAGTTCTGTGATGACCAACGACGCATCCGCGGGGGCCGAGTCCAGTAGGTAGACACGTCCATGGAAATGTCCATAGCTCCGCTTGTGGAAACCCATGGCAACAAAGACATCCACCTGGAACAAGAAGAAGAAGGATTTGTAAGTGACGGCATCAGTTAGATCCTGGGTCATTCCACGAAATGAGTGCCTTTTGCATCTCTTTGATATTTTAAGTAGAAATTGTGCACCAATATTGAATTGTAAAAGCATGTTACATTAAATGAAGTCCCTCTTAATATAGACCACATGGGGAATTCAATAAATCAGATTTTCAATATGAATAATTCAGCATTTTGACATCCCTCCTTGCACCCTGTGTGACTTCTAGAAAGATTTTAACCCACTTAACTTTAACATTTCTCCAAGTTTTCACCATAATTGTAAAGCCCTAGTTATTTTGTCGCTTTGACAAGTCCATTTAGAAGATTATTATTTAATGTGATTAGTCTACATTTACGTCTGTCCCTCATTTTAAGGTCAACCCTGTTACGTGAACTGAACTGTCATTTTAATATGGTAAAAATATTCCTTTTTAAATATTTTTGTTCAAAATTAATATTGAACATCTAATAGTCAAATCATAGTGTAAAAGTAGGTGAGCTGGTTCTACTCTTTTTGGCCATTTTCTGGTGTTGTGTTGTGGAAAATTGTGTGGACCAAGCATAACACTTCAACCCTGTTACCCATAGATAGACAGGCTAGAAATGTTTAAATATATATATATATATATATATATATATATATATTTTTTTTTTTTTGTGAAGCTTCCATTCAATTGCCCCTTCCTTTTGCACACAACAAGCTTCCATTCCCCCTGTCACATGGGGATTTACGGCTGATTTAAAATGAAATCGTCAACCCTGTTACAGTCAACCTGCTACGGTCAACCCTGTTACTTTATTTGGCACTTAATAGGTACTTACTATAGTAATGTTTTTTATTTAACCTCTTGAGATGGAAAAATGAAGTGTTTTATGAAGTTGAACATTTGTGCTCTTTATGATAGAATGTAAACATTTGGTGAAATCTTTTTTTGGGGCCAAGTTACACTTCCCAAAATGTACCGAATTGGTGGAATGACACTCCTATTGATACTTTGGCCCCACAAAGTTTTAGTAAAAAAACAACGTTTCTATGATTTATAGTAAAAAAGATAGAGGAAGATAAGTGTCTCCAATGACATCATCAACCAATTAGTAGACATTTAGTATTCAATTAGTAGGCAATGCTTACTCATAATTGGTTAAAATCACACGATACACACCGATGATGTCATTGGAAACTTATCTTCATCTGTCTTTTTTACTACAAAACATAGAAAAGCTCAATTTTCACATATGTTGATGTTGGAGTGGTGCTGAAGATGTACAGTATATATATTTTGGGGGGAATTACATTTTCTGGGCAAAGAAAACATTAAAATCACCAGGAATTCAGCAAAAATGTGTTTAATTCAGGAAATCTGTTCACAAGTACACCCACGAATAAAAAAAATAGTTTGTGTCTCAATGTAATCAAGGTATGAAATGATTGTTATTTTCAAATACAATCTCTTTTTGGGCTTAGTTGTGGTCAATTTGCAGTGAACAAATGATTATAATTATGTTCCGGCCCCCCGACCATCAACCGACAAAAATCAGCCTGCGGCTGAATCTAGTTGCCTACCCCTGTCCTAGTCTCTTTTATAACATAGGCTATTCCACATAGTGCACTATTGTTGACCAGACCTGTACAGTATCTGACTCTGATCAAAAGTAGTGCATTATATAGAAAAGGGGTTTTGATTACAGTTTTATGACATTGATTCGAGTGGAAACCCACCTCTTTGAGGTAGTCTGATGTCAGCTTGGTCCATTTGATCCTCAGTTTGGGGTTGGCTGGCAGTGACACATCCCTGTGGAACTTACAGGGCAGGGTGGCATTACCTCCCCGCCTCGACACCACCTTGGACTGCTCCGTCACCACAGAGAGCTGAGGGCCATTCTCTGTAATAAAGGAATGGGTTAAACCATTAGTATTTATTTCTCTCTCATACAGTATCTCTCTCACTCTCTATTCCTAACTTCAACAACAACACTAACCCATTGTTTGGTTCTCTGTATCTTATCAACAAACGGGCTGGTTTATTTTCTCTGAATGGTATTTAACCTGTTTGTTATCACATTATGCCATATGAAATTGACTAGCAAGATCTAGGCATGGAAGCAGAGGCTTGCTCAATAGCTAAATAGTTCCCATCTCTTTTTATCCCAAGTGAAGCACAAAAGCTAGGTTGTTCATCCCTGTCACATACACCATGTTGGTGTAATTTTGATTTAAACAATATAGTTCTGCATTGTATTTTTGTAGCATGTTGTGTAATGCTGATGTAAGTGACCAGTGTATTAGGAGAACCCCTGTAGTCAAACATCAGGTTCCAGAAATCTGTCTATGAGATAATGATGTAGTTATAATGATGCTTATAGATATAATAATAATATGAACTACTGCCAGTCAACCACACATAATAACATTCTGCTAAGGGACTCATTAACATGTATTTACACTTCAAACACATTTACATCCACACGCAAACAAATCTGTTTCCAAAACCATGTATAAAAATCACTCCAAACCAGGGAGATCGTTCAAGATTAACGTCGAAATTGGACGTTTATCCATGTCCTGAAGATGTCGGGAAATACCTTCAAAACCGGCCACCAGGGGAAACAGTGAGCACTAGTACCATCAAGTAGACTTGGGTTTTCCTAGGGCGTTGTGGATGGGGGTGGTGGATAGGCGTAATCAGTGGTGTAAAAATACTTTAAAGTACTACTTAAGTAGTTTTTTGGGGTATCTGTACTTTACTTTACTATTTATATTTTTGACAACTTTTACTTTTAGTTCACTACATTCCTAAAGAAAATAATGTACTTTTTACTCCGTACATTTTCCCTGACACCCAAAAGTACTAGTAAAAAAATGTATGCTTAGCGGGACAGAAAATAGTCATCCCTACTGCCTCTGATCTGGCGGACTCACTAAACACAAATGTTTCATTTGTAAATTATATCTGAGTGTTGGAGTGTGCCCCAAGACAATTGTGCCGTCTGGTTTGCTTAATTTAAGGAATTTGAAATGATTCATACTTTTACTTTTGATACTTAAGTATTTTTTAGCAATTACATTTACTTTTGATACTTAAGTATATTTAAAACCAAATAGTTTTAGACTTTTACTCAAGTAGTATTTTACTGGGTGACTTTCACTTTTACTTGAGTCATTTTCTATTAAGGTATCTTTACTTTTACACAAGTATGACAGTTAGGTACTTTTTCCACCACTGGGCGTAATCCCATGATTTCTGGCTCAGAAGGTTGATCCCAGTCGTGGACACTAGTTTTACATTTTTTGTTTGAACCCTATCCCAAACCTTAACCCTTACTTGACCCATTTGGAATGAGTGCCTAAACTTAACCCTTAACTTTGAAATTTGACGTTTGGAGAAATAGAACGATACAGAGCAGCAGGAGCGACAAAAACACTTTGAAATTTGACGTTTGGAGAACGTAGATGAACGTCTAAATCTGCATTGAGACTGTGAGACCTTGTTGCTCCAAACACCCCCACCCCCTTAAACAGAATCTGGTTACAGGGTTTTCTCTAATACAGCTTGACTGTGCATTCCATCACTACCTCATCTTGTGTTTGATGTTGATGTAATCCTCTCTTCCTGGTGTGGAGCGAATTGATAAGTATAATATGTCAGGAGGCACTATGTAATGCACACAATGGAGCGTCCTCAGTCAATGCTGTGACCATCCTCTGTAGTATGATCCTCAGATGTCCCCCCCCCCCAACCCCTTGCTCCAACCCCCAATCCTCTGACTGCACTCTGGGAATTGTCTACCCTACCATGGTTACACACAAGTTATGAATTGTGTTTATCAGTTCCACTAGGATCTTAAAGAAGAAAAAAAGAAATAATTGCTTCATATTCATCACCTCCAGCACCACCCAAACATCAACATATGTGAAAATGGCGCGTTTCTATGATTTATAGTAAAAAAGATAGAGGAAGATAAGTGTTTCCAATGACATCATCAACCAATTAGTAGACATTTAGTAGGCAATTAGTAGGCAATGCCTACTCATAATTGGTTAAAATCACACGATGCACACCGATGATGTCATTGGAAACTTATCTTCCTCTATCTTTTTTACTACAAAACCTAGAAAGCGCAAATTTTCACAAATGTTGATGTTGGAGTGGTGCTGAAGATTTTTAGAAATGTCGTTAAATTTTTGCCAGTTTGCTACAGAAGGAAAATAATCCTGCAGCAACAAGAAATGTGGATTATAATTCATGAAAATAGTAGGGAATTATACATTTTTCGTTAGGGCAAATCAAGTCTGACATTTTCAAATGGAAATTACAAACTTTAGAAACCTTTTAAAACCTTGAATACACTACAAGTTTACATTTCCTGCTGTGCAGGAAAACTCTCAGCAATAAAACAGTGATCAAATTAAGATCCTACATCTGTATATCCCTGTTAGGACCATAGGGACCCATGCTACACTGACTGACTGATTGATCCTATAGGAGTCCTATACTGACTATAGGAGTGAGTTAGCGCTTCCTCTCTCCAGCCAAGTCAGTGAATCTGCCTCCTGAAACTACGATCGATGCTGAAGCTAATTTCTACACAATAGTTCAACAGAACTGCTTACCACACACACAGTACAGTATACTGTTTTAGTTGGAGAGCTGCGCTACACATGCTACTGCTGGTACCACACTCTACCATAGTACTGTATGTGGTAAAACCTCCTTTATATTGTCACTGCAGAAAGAGTGCAGTAGCCAATACACATTCACTGCACCTGCTTTCTAAACATGACACCAACAGTGACATATCTGACCTGCAATCTGACTCTACAGCCCAAATAAAAAGAGATAGCAGATAGGTTATCACACAGAGAAAACAAGACCCCACATAGCTGCCCTATCTCTCTCATTCAACAGTTGCAGTGCGTGAGGATACACACACACAGGCGTGCGCAAACAAACACACACGCTCACACACACACACACACACACACACACACACACACACACACACACACACACACACACACACACACACACACACACACACATACACACACACAGAGAGATAAGATGATACTATGAAACTACAGGAGACATTCCAGGAGTGTGTGTCATAAACAAAACACAGAGACAGGTACATTTACATTTCGGTAATTTAGCAGACACTCTTAACCAGGGCGACTTTCAATTAGAGGTGTTAGACTATCAATGCAGATGGATGTCATACACACACACACACACACTGGTGTCTACCTTGTACATAGATGGTTCTGTAGTGCTCCAGTTCAGGGTATGCTGTGTCAAAGTTGTCGGCCAAGCTCAGAGAGACCAGGGCACAGATCAGCACAGGAAGCATCTTCTGTCACTACACCGGGGGTCTGCTCACTGCATAAAGAGAGAGGGGGAGAGAGAGCGGGTCAGAACATCCTCACATACCAGCACAACACCTTCCTCCATAAAGTGTGTATGTGTGTGTATGTGTGCGTGTCTGTTGTGTGTGTGTGTGTGCGTGTGTGTGTGTGTGTGTGACCTGAGAATATCCCTCTGTACAGAATATATATCTGCAGTGCTGTACATTCCCTCTAGAGCAGTCTGATTGCAATAGGAATGCAGCACTCTCTGTGTCCTTGTCACAGAAAGCCCCCCCCCCACCCCCATACACCCCCCACCACCACCACAGACAGACACACACACACACATATATGCACACACATGCAGGTAGATGTACACACACAGACACACACCAGAGATATATAGGGCAGTAGCAGAAAGATTTATAGCATGGCATGAGTAAGCAAAACTAGCTATTCTCACGATCATCACCTTCATCATCATGATAATTACAGTAGACATTATCAACATTATCATCATCAATGTCATTATCACTCATCATCTCAATCATTATCATCATCAGCATCATTCTCACTATTACACTCTTTCAATATCATCATCAGCATCTCTCTATCACAACCATGATCAATATAACCTATTCATAAAAATATCAATCTCACATAATCACTATCCTTATCACTAATCCACAGAGCAAGAATACCTATTCCTGTAGAACACTGAAGAAGCTCTAGACTATGTAAGAAGATCGAATACACATAGAGTACTACACACACAGAGAGAGAGGATCATATCGCGTTCCAGGGAGCCAGCCGGAGGGGAAACTTTGCCAAACACACTTTTCTCACCAGCGCCATCACACACTATCCATCTTCAGCCCTGTCCACACACACACACATCCCAAAATGAGAATAGAAGGACTCACCATCTCAAAGTAGAGAGTATACACACACTCCTTTCCCTACTCCTAAAGAGTGTGTGTGAGCACCGACATGCAAAACACAGTGTGTGTGAGCAGTGTGTGAGAGCGGTGTGTGTGTGAGCGGTGTGTGGTGAGTGGTGTGTGGGTTCTCCGCAGTCACTCTGATTGATCCTCAATTATTTTTTCTCTTCCTTCATTCACTCCCTCCATCCCCTAGTGCTGACGCACTGGCTGACACTGCCAGGTAGGGCTTCTGCAGTCAGCAGAACACTACTCTGCAGAGCACACACACACACACACACTGATACAGTATGCACTAACGCACGGACGCACGCCACCCTCTTCCCCCTCCCAGCCTGAAAATAGTAATTAAGCAGACCAAGATGTGGGGAGTGATAAGAGAGAGGAGAAATAGAGAGAGTAGAGAGAAAGAGAGAAATGAGAGAAAAGGGAGAAAGAGTGCAGCGAGAGATAAATTGAGTGATAGAGGAGAGAGAGAGAGAGATATAGAGGCGAGAGAGAGCGAGAGAGAGAGAGAGAGAGAGAGAGAGAGAGAAGAGAGAGCGAGAGAGTAGGAGAAAGAGAGAGAGAGAAGATAGAGAGAGATAGACGACGAGAGAGAGAAAGCGAAAGAAAGATACGAAGAGACGACAAGCATGAGAGAGAGAGCAGAGCGAATGAGAGAAGAGAAGGATGACTTTCCTCAGGGAGGAAGAGAAAACAGCAAGAGAATCTCCTCAACTAAGTTCTCCTCGCAGAGAGAGAGAAATGATGTAACTACTTAGAGAGAGAAAGGGGGGGGAGAGAGGAGTGGGGAGATATAGAGGTGCACACAGATAGAGAAAGGGGGGCGAGGGAGGAGATGGGGGCATCTAGAGGGTCAATGGAGAGCACAGGGGATGTAGGGATGGGACGCATCATCAGAGAGGGCAAACGAGAGAAAGGTGGCGGGGTGGGGAGATATAGGGGGCAACAGAGAGAAAGGGGGGAGGGAGTGGGGAGATATAGAGGGGCAAATAGAGAAAGGGGGAGGGATTGGCGAGAGTATAGAGGGGCAATAGAGAGTCAGGCAATAAGGGTTGAGGAGTGGATGGGAGATATAGAGGGGCACAGAGAGATAAATGGGGGAAGGTGTGTGGGGGAGATATAGCCTGTCAAAGCGAGAAGGGGGGGGGAGTTTAGATTGCAAAAAGAAAAGGGGGGTGTGGGGATTTGGCAAAGAGAGAGAAAGTGTCGGCATGGTATTGGGGAAATAGATGCAGGGAGCAGGGCGTGGGTCGATGTGCGCTCTTTAGAGGCAGCAGGGGGGTGGGGGCTGGGGAGTATTCTGGATCGCCAGGACCTGGGATCGCGCCAGGGGGGTGTTTGGGGAGCACCCTCTCTTCGCCGGGGATGGGGGGGGGGGCGCGGGGAAAGTATAGAGGGGCAAAGAGAGAGAAAGGGGGGAGAGAGTGGGGAGATATAGAGGGGCAAAGAGAGAGAAAGGGGGGAGGGAGTGGGGAGATATAGAGGGGCCAAGAGAGAGAAACGACAGCTCTGCAGCAGTATAAGTGATGCAGAGGTTTAGTATCAATAAGACACGCTACATTAGCCAGCCTGTTAACCTTTAATACAGCTACTGTAGATTAAACACACATAGTCCACAAAGAAGGGAACAGGTGTGTATGTGTTCCCAATCACAGCCAATAACCCTGAGAACTCAAACACTCACTCATATACACACACATGACGTGTGTTTGTCACAATACCTGATGCCACCGGTGCAGACATTCCATTGGCCCATCTGTGTGGAGAGTAAACAGGCAGGAGTGTTTTACGGGCCAGTAGTGTGTGTGTGCATGTGTGTGTGTGTGGTTTGGTTTTACTATCCTTGTGGGGACCAGAAGTCCTCACAAGGATAGTAAACCAAGGAAAATTTGGACAAGTGGGGACATTTCACCGGTCCCAACATGGAAAAAGGCTATTTTAGGCTTAGGTTTAGGGTTAGGGTTACAATTAGGGTTAGAGTTAAAATGAAGGTTAGGGGTTAGGTTTAGTTTTAGGGTTAAGGTTAGGGTTAAGGTTAGGGTTAGGGGTTAGTGAAATATGATTTTTAATGGGAATAAATGTTTTGGTCCCCACAAGGATAGTAAAACAAACATGTGTGTGGATGCCCATCAGCTGTGATGCTCTGATGATGGAGTTGTATTGTGAATTTTCTTATGAAGAGTCTAAGTATCTCTAATGGAACTACTGACAACTATGACCATGATGTTATGTTTACATTAAAGAATGGACTGACAGGGTACCGATACAGCTGTAGAGGAATATAAGGAGGATGTGGTGGACAGGTCGTCATTGTAAAGAAGAATGTGGTCTTAATTGACTTAAAAGGCAACACACTGTGATACAGTCCAGAGTAAACATAGAGAGAACGAGACAGAAAGAGAGAGAGATTTGACTGGACATGAGTTGGAGTGTACGTATCAACAGCTAGAGGAATGATGGCGATACAATATCAAAGAACAGCTGGTGGTGAGACAGAGAGCAAGAGAAACACACAAACACACACACACACACACACACACACTTAAGGTGCTCATTGCCAAGTTCAAATATAAAGTATACAGATGATATCACAGTGCTGGGTGGGTTCTTATTTAAACACTCAAATCAGGCTGTCACACACACACACACACACACACACACACACACACGGGCTGGCTAAAACATTGCAATCAGGCTATCGCAGTGAAAACCAGCTGGCGCCCTCACTTTATATTTCCATTCCTAATTTGGGAACACAGTTCTGGGAACATGTCTATTAACCTCCATGTGACAATCACACACCGAGTAATGGTTAATGCATTAGAGAATGGTGTTTGCACTGTCGTCTTTACGAGAATTAAAGCACCCTTTAGCATTTAAATGGATAGTTCACCCAATGACCAAATGACTGGTGTGTTCCCTTGCCTGAAAGTAGCTGGGCAAAGGAAGACTACAATCCACACTATGGGCACAAATCACCTCAAAGTAACTATCCCTTTAAAGCTTTGACCCCTTTACCATATTGATGAATGAACGTGTGACAAGCTCTTTCACAAGACACTAAGGATAGTGGATATGAGATGACTAAAGCCCTATGTTGGGTTCACTCTAGGACACACACTTAGGTGCATCGGTGGAGGATTGCACAAACACTTTCCAGCACAAACTTAAAGTAGACTGCATGGGGGCTCCAAGACAAATCTTTCCAAGAAACACTGTGAGGTCTCCCACCTCTGTCTCTCCAGTCCCCTCCCATCCCACGGGCCCCTGGCTTTTGCCCTCTCCATCCCCCCTTTGGCCCCTGGGTCCATGCTCTGGCTCTGTGTCTGGCAACCCACAGCACTAGCAATAATATGATTTGGGGAGTCATTGTTTCTGTCCTTCCTGTTTTTCACTGAGTGGATTATAATGAAACAACAATAATACAGCTAGCAGCACGTTGGGAAACTCTACATTCATTCAATCCATCTTTGAATCAAATTAAATCAAACTCAAAGGGAAAATCCACTCAAAAACTATATTTTGGTATTTATTTCATTAGTCCACTGTTGATACAGTCCCAAAATGTTTTGCATGTCAGCAGTCAAGTTTTCAAGATATTGGACTTTCAAGAGCCAAAGTGTATCATGTATTTTACAGGACTGCCACTACAAGGGTTTATGCTAATGAAGAATACACTGTGCCCACTGCCTGTTGGAAGGGATGAAGGATGTATTTCTATTAAGTATTCTAGCAGAACCCCATAGCTTTGTGTTGGGAAAGCCCCTTGATCTGTGGGGTCTTGAGGAATGCCCTGGATGGAGTGATGTCTGATGTCTATATTTTCACATTGTGTCACCTGTCTGAGAGTCCCGTACCCTTGTCCCTGCCGTAGCTAACACATATCAGGTTCTCTCCAGAGAACAGGACAACACAACCACTCCCAGTGTTTGTGTGCATGCGTGCATGCATGTTTTCATATTGACGGTGGGTAACCAGATAGCCAGTCGGTGACATAACATTATGACTGGGCACTGACTGACTGAGTGTCCTCCATTACTGGTCCTTTATGACCGTCATCAATATGTCACAATATGTCCACTTTCAGAGCTCCATACAACATTGTCTACATTCCATAGGTTGGAGGAGAAAG